GCTGAAGATGAAGAAAATGCTGATGACTGTGTCGATAAGACTGTTGTGACTGCTTCTGTTGTGTATGATGTGGGTAAACCATTAAAGTTCAATATCTCAACACATTTGGACAAAACACGTGACACATGAGGGGGTGTATTAATGCAAGTGTGCTGTTCCACCTGGAAGTCGTGGACATTTTTAATTGGGTAATCATATATTTAAGTGAGACATTCCATCTAGAAGTTGAAGATCTAATTATGTGAGTAGAATATTCCACCCAGAAGTTGTAATCATTTATTTAAGTGAAACATTCCATCTAGAAGTTTTAGATCTAATTATATGAGTAGAATATTGCACCCAGAAGTTGTAAACATATATTTAAGTGAGACATTCCATCTAGAAGTTGTAGATCTAATTATGTGAGTAGAATATTGCACCCAGAAGTTGTAAACATATTTATATCAGTGGGAGGCTCCAATGAGAACTTGTAGAAGTAATTATGTGAGTGAGATATTCCAACAAGAATTTGCTGACATATTTACGCAAATGGGACATTTGAACTGAAAGGTTATCAAGTAATCAAAGTTGCAGCTTCTAGCAAATGGGTCATCCTATAATTTCTCCATTCCTGTACAAGCAAAAGTCCATGTGGTGCATGGAAAGGGGGGGGGGGGACAAGAGGGTGAGCTGTAGGTGAAAGCAATGGATGAGATGATTTGGGATATGGATCTGTTCATTCTCAGTAATTCCATTGGAGTGTATGGGCTGTACAGTTGAAGTCGTGTATTGTAATCCTAAATGCTTATAGTGAAGGCAGCCATGCTAGAATGAACGGCGACTCTGTGGATTTGTTTAACCGCTCTTCTCACACTATACAGGGGTGGCTTGTTCAGCTGTTATGCTGTCCTGGCTGCAAGAGTGCACAGGAGTGCACAGGAGTGCATAGATGCACAGGAGTGCGTAGATGTACAGGAGTGCATAGATGCACAGGAGTGCGTAGATGCACAGGAGTGCGTAGATGCATAGGAGTGCGTAGATGCACATAGCCACTTATTCTGCTTAACAAAGGGGATTGGTCTCAAGATCAGTTGTCTGCCCGTCTGAATTTATTCACAGTCCTGTTATGCCATATAGGGCTTGCCATCTATTTCTTCATTCCATTCTTCTCAGAATGTGTCCAATGTAGTGTCATCTTCTCAGAATGTGTCCAATGTAGTGTCATCTTCTCAGAATGTGTCCAATGTAGCTCCATCTTCTCAGAATGTGTCCAATGTAACGCCATCTTCTCAGAATGTGTCCAATGTAGCGCCATCTTCTCAGAATGTGTCCAATGTAGCGCCATCTTCTCAGAATGTGTCAAATATAACGCCATCTTCTCAGAATGTGTCAAATGTAGCGCCATCTTCTCAGAATGTGTCAAATATAACGCCATCTTCTCAGAATGTATCAAATGTAGCACCATCTTCTCAGAATGTGTCCAATGTAGTGCCATCTTCTCAGAATGTGTCCAATGTAGCGCCATCTTCTCAGAATGTGTCCAATGTAGCACCATGTTTTCAGAATGTGTCCAATGTAGCACCATCTTTTCAGAATGTGTCCAATGTAGCGCCATCTTTTCAGAGTGTGTCCAATGTAGCACCATCTTTTCAGGATGTGTCCAATGTAGTGCCATCTTCTCGGTCTTATAACTGTGGATACTGTTCTGTGGTGCTCTCAGTACAATAGAATCCTAAGAGCTAATGTTCCAGGCCTCACAATTAACAACAGTCATATCAAAAGAGAAAGCAAACTGAGGTACCTGGATATCATTTTAGATAGAAGCTTGTCCTTCAGGGATCATATGGAAGCTGTTGCGGTAAAATGCCAAAAAGGATCAATGCTCTCAAGATTATGACAGCAATGGACATGGAACAAAGAATGTTGTTCACAATGTTCCAGCATGTGATCCTGTTGGTGATAGATTACAGACTTGGAATGCTTACCATATCAAAGAGTCAGGTGATGAAGCTTGAACGCATACAGAATAAAGCCATGCGGGTGATAATGGGATGTGCAAGAGATACCCCAGTAGTATTAGGCGATATATACTTGCGCTGCCTACTATTGCAGATAGGCTTAAAGTTTTGCAAGCACCTCCTGCAGGAAGCCCTGGGTAGAGCTAAGGATCACAGACTGAAAAGAGAAAAGTCTTGGATGGCGCAAGCTGAAGACACAATTCGACATGTGTGCAGGCTTGATAAATTTGGGCAAGGAGACCAGTGGGTCAAATTGTCTGAGCAAGTTTCAGACTTGTGCATTCGCTCTAATCACGTTGGGACATGAGTGCAGGTAATGGCCAACTGGTGCTGCAGAATCAGAATTGCAACATATTATTCATGACAATTCCCACCCAAGTGAGGTGATTATCTATACAGATGGCTCTGTGTTGAGAAGCAGGTGAAGTGCATGGGGGTTCATAGCAAAAGCGAATGGACGTCGCTTAGTGCAACAAAGCCTTGCATGTGATATCACAACGTCTAGTTTGAGAATGGAGGTGGAGGCAGTCACTGCTGCCTTCCGCTGACTGAGAATCAGCTGTACACACACGCTGTGATTGTCGCTGACTCACGGAGCATGTTTAAAAAGGTAGAGACAGGCATGCTCCGTGCAGAGTGGCAAGCATAAATTCAGAAGTCCCGGGTAGTTAGCATCGTTTGGATATTTTTTCCAGGTAATGCCGGTGTGTTGGAAAATGAGCAGGCGGATAGTCTAGCTGGCTCTGCACCATTTGGTGGTGGACTGATGTTTGACAAGTTAGATATTGTGAGAGCCCTTTGAGAGCAAGTGAACAGTTCGAAGGCACAGATAGATCATTATGTTCTGAGGAGAATGCACTATGAGGAGTTACCAGGGAATCTAGCCGATCAACACTCATGGGAAGGGCAAAACAGATATACAATCAGACAGTTACTGGTTCCATCAGAATTGGAACTCTTTGTTTGCCGCTGAAGATGGGAAAGGAGCGTGTATGGGAGTGTTGAGTGCTATGATGTCAATTCTTAATTGAAATTCAACATTCAGCTTAGCAAAACAATATCAATGGTTGTACCAAATAACAGAAGAGACAAAATGGATCCCTGTTTCATTCCAGTGTCACATTCAAATCAATCACTTAGACCATAGTCTGTTGGCACTGCACACTCTGAACCTTTATACACTGCCTTAACAATGTTTATTAATTTCATTGGTATACCATAGCATTAAAAATGTCCCATTGTGATGTTCTTTGTAAACTATCAAAAGCCTTCTTAAAGTCAATGAAATTTAAAATAATGGGTTGTTGTTGCTAATGAATTCCTCAAAAATTAGTCTCGTAGTGAATATTTAAGCAGCTTCTTTCAGGTCAAAAACCTGCTTTGTCCTCTCTCAGGATTTTATCCACTACCAAATTAATCCAATTAAGAATTATTTTACAAATGGTCTTTGACATGACTGATAACAGAGTAATTCCTCTCCAGCAGTTACAGTCAGTAAAATTACCTTAAAATTTTAACAGTTATTCCTATCTTTCACTGATCTGGGATTTTTACTCAGCCCATATTCTACTAAACAAATCTTTCACTTAGTTTATGGTGACATCCTCTGCTACCTTGAACATTTCTGTTGTAAAATCATCATCACCTGCTGCCTTATTGTGTGCTCATGAATTGATTGCCTCCCTAAATTCTATGTCATTTATCTTTCACTTAGTTTATGGTGACATCACCTGCTGCCTGATTGTGTGCTCATCAATTGATTGCCTCCCTAAATTCTATGTCATTTATCTTTCACTTAGTTTATGGTGACATCACCTGCTGCCTGATTGTGTGCTCATCAATTGATTGCCTCCCTAAATTCTATGTCATTTATCTTTCATTTAGTTTATGGTGACATCACCTGCTGCCTGATTGTGTGCTCATCAATTGATTGCCTCCCTAAATTCTATGTCATTTATCTTTCATTTAGTTTATGGTGACATCACCTGCTGCCTGATTGTGTGCTCATCAATTGATTGCCTCCCTAAATTCTATGTCATTTATCTGTCCTACATTTACTGGTACTATGGTCAATCATGCCTCTTCAGAAAAATTCACTGATTCTTGAGAACTGGGTCTATTCAATATTTCGCTCACTTATCTTATTGGTAATTTATCAACATATGCTCTCTTATCTCTTTAGTTAATCTATCAACATATGCTCTCTTTTCTCTTTAGCTAATCTATCAATATATGCTCTCTTCTCTCTTTAGCTAATCTATCTACATATGCTCTCTTTTCTCTTTAGCTAATCTATCAACATATACTCTCTTCTTTCTTTAGCTAATCTATCAACATATGCTCTCTTCTCTCTGTGACATGTGGCCTGTACACTGTTTGATTTCTCAAGCTTATGTTTCTGTGACATGTGGCCTGTATACTGTTTGATTTCTCTAGCTCATGTTTCTGTGACATGTGGCCTGTACACTGTTTGATTTCTCAAGCTCATGTTTCTGTGACATGTGGCCTGTACACTGTTTGATTTCTCAAGCTTATGTTTCTGTGACATGTGGCCTGTACACTGTTTGATTTCTCAAGCTTATGTTTCTGTGACATGTGGCCTGTACACTGTTTGATTTCTCAAGCTTATGTTTCTGTGACATGTGGCCTGTACACTGTTTGATTTCTCAAGCTCATGTTTCTGTAACATGTGGCATTTTGACAATTATATGCACAAATCTCAACACGTAGAAGAATCTACTAGCTCTAAGCAAGAATAAACAAAAGTCAAATTGTTCAATTTCAGGGGAATAAGCAAAGCAAACACAGTCATTAAAAAAAACTGGTCTGCTCCAGTTCTGGCCCTGGTTTGTCTAGACCCAAGCTGACAGAGGGGAAACAAGCAGAAACAAGAGACAATATGTAGGCAGAATCTGGCCTGGTTTGTCTAGATCCAAGCTGACATGATGTCTTGTGGTAATTAATTATTATTCTCAGTTGGTAAAATCAACAATCAACACTTACCTGTGATTGTGCTGGTGTCATTTGATTGTGCAGCTCTTGTTGTATTCACAATTGTTGAAGAGGAGATGGTAGTTCCTGTCACAGTTATGGCTGCTGTTGAAGAGGAGGTATTGCCAGTTCCTGTCACAGTTATTGCTGCAGTTGAAGAGGTGATGTTGGTAGTTGCTGCAGTTGTTGTCACTGTTGTTGTTTGCTCCAGGACAGCCTCATCTATTTCCTGACATGCGTAGACAACCTTCCAGCCTTCTATAATGATTGCAGCATAGATAGCCGGGCTGCTGACTGTTACGCTGCGACCCAGACAGAAGTTGAAGGTCTTTCGTGTTAAAACGTTACGGTAAATGAACCTGGTAGAAGTTGCCACTTTAATGCCATCTAGATAGAGACTGAGACCAAACTGAATACTCCAGGAGAATTGCACACTAACAGAAACATTGACAACAATTTTGTCAGTGAACACTGTCCATTCTTGCATGTGGGTACTGACTGTCAGGAAAAACTTGCCATATCTGTAGAACATGGCCACACCGTAGTTGTCTTTCTCATCACCTCCACTAGTGAAGATATACATTCCCTCCTTCAGATTCAGCACCTGTTGCAGGCAAAAAAATTACATGAAAGTAACAATAAAGTAATGTGAAAGTAACATGTCCAGCTCAACAGGAAGGGTCACTTTGTACCCACTGGCCCTGTCTATTCATAGTCTCAGCACAACTACTTCAGATTCACAGGCTCCACAAAGAAAAATCTAAGTATTTATTTCTGGATGGGAGAACAGTCCATGTCTATGAGTCTCTATGACTCCACTCATTGACTATATAACTATGTCTATGAGTCTCTATGACTCCACTCATTGACTATATAACTATGTCTATGAGTCTCTATGACTCCACTGACTATATAACTATGTCTATGAGTCTCTATGACTCCACTCATTGACTATATAACTATGTCTATGAGTCTCTATGACTCCACTCATTGACTATATAACTATGTCTATGAGTCTCTATGACTCCACTCATTGACTATATAACTATGTCTATAAGTCTCTATGACTCCACTCATTGACTATATAACTATGTCTATGAGTCTCTATGACTCCACTCATTGACTATATAACTATTTCTAATCTACCTACAAACACAAACACGCACATTCCACATACATACATACAGATACACACATGCAAACACAGACACACCCACAGAAACAAATGCACACACATACACACATACACAAACCCGCAGACACACACACACACACAGACTCACATACGGGAACACACACACATATGTGCACACAGAAACACAGACACACACAGATACATGCACACAGACACACTTGCAGACACACAAACACACACACAATTGCAGACACACACAAACACATGCTGATGATCATGCAGACACATACACACACAGACACACAACCACAGACACAAACACACAGATGCAAGTGCATACATACACATACACACAGGCACACACAGATACACACAGACACACACCCACAGACACAAACACAAACACAAACACAAACGCAGACATACATACACACAGACAAACACATACACACAGACGCAGACACACCTAGAGACAATACACACAGAGACACACACAGACACATACACACAGAGACACACATACACACAGGCATTCACGCAGACACACATACACACACAGGCACATACAAACACACAAATACAACAAAGACACACACACAAAAGCACACATGCAGGCACACACACAGACACATACACGTAGAACACACAGACATGCAAACACATGCACAGACACATGCAGACCCATACACACAGATACACATGCAGACACATAAACCTGAACAAAGACACACAGACATACAAACATAGATACACACCTACAAACACACAATACAAACACTTACAGACACAAAAATACACACAAACAAATACACACAGACACATACACAGAGATGCACACACAGATGCACAGGCAGACATGCACATGTAGACATACATGCATACATACACACACATGCAGACAAACACACACAGACATTTACACACAGACACACACATAGACATATACACCACAGACACACACACACAGATCACACTCATGCAGATGCTCACACACACACACACAAACACACACAAACACAACAAGGTGCAAGCACACACAAACACTCACACATGCAGGCACACACACACACAGACACACAGACATGCCTACACAGAGATATATTCACACACAATCCCGCAGACACACACACAGTCACACGCACATGTAGACACACACGGACACATACACACACTGACGCAACAACTTATACAATTACCGATACACACACTCATACATACGCAAACACACCTACACATACACACCACACATGTACACGCATACATACATATCATACACATCTTATTTAATTATAAATTGATAAATCACACACTAGAGCATACACTAGACTTACATAAGTTAACAATCACATACTAGAGCATACACTAGACTTACATAAGTTAACAATCACATACTAGAGCATACACTAGACTTACATAAGTTAACAATCACATACTAGAGCATACACTAGACTGTCATATGTTAACAATCACACACTAGAGCATACACTAGACTGTCATATGTTAACAATCACATACTAGAGCATACACTAGACTTACATAAGTTAACAATCACATACTAGAGCATACACTAGACTGTCATATGTTAACAATCACATACTAGAGCATACACTAGACTGTCATATGTTAACAATCACATACTAGAGCATACACTAGACTGTCATATGTTAACAATCACATACTAGAGCATACACTAGACTTACATAAGTTAACAATCACATACTAGAGCATACACTAGACTGTCATATGTTAACAATCACATACTAGAGCATACACTAGACTTACATAAGTTAACAATCACACACTAGAGCATACACTAGACTGTCATATGTTAACAATCATGCACTAGAGCATATACCAGACTATACATATGTTAACAATATTAAACTAGAACATTTTAGAATAAGTTATCACAACTAGATGGACAGAGAATACCAAGCAATAATAGAAAACAGCCATTATCCTTCTGAAACCTAGACACCACATTGATGGATTTGCCATCAAACTGTGACTGAATTCATCTTACCTTGAGACCAAATAAGACAGTCAAGCCAAATCTGCAAGTGCCAGGATCCCACAAACAGCTGGACCTCTCTATGGATGACAAATTTACAAACTGGTCAATGCCATTTAGTTGAACTGCCAGGTTTTTGGAATCACTGGACAAATTCACCAGCATTGGGTTTCCAGTCACTGTGAAATTCACTTCCCGTGTGATCAGCCGATTGACATCAATTCTGATAAAACTGTACACAATTGTCTTGATATCTGAACCTGAAAAACAAATGATTGTATTGTGTTTGTAATTATATATTGACATAAGCAATCATTATTTTATTCCTACACATCAACCCAGACTTACACTCTCACACTTCCACTGAATCTTAAATTTTTATGTAACTTACTGTTCTGTCATCGAGACATATTTCCTTAGTTATCCTTTATTTGACATCCTAGCATGCATGTGGCTGACCATCATGTTCCGCCAGTGATGTGGCTGACCATCATGTTCTGAGTGATGTGGCTGACCATCATGTTCCGCCAGTGATGTGGCTGACCATCATGTTCTGTCAGTGATGTGGCTGACCATCATGTTCTGCCAGTGATGTGGCTGACCATCATGTTCCGCCAGTGATGTGGCTGACCATCATGTTCCACCAGTGATGTGGCTGACCATCATGTTCCACCAGTGATGTGGCTGACCATCATGTTCCACCAGTGATGTGGCTGACCATCATGTTCTGAGTGATGTGGCTGACCATCATGTTCCACTAGTGATGTGGCTGACCATCATGTTCCACAAGTGATGTGGCTGACCATCATGTTCTGTCAGTGATGTGGCTGACCATCATGTTCTGAGTGATGTGGCTGACAATCATGTTCTGTCAGTGATGTGGCTGACCATCATGTTCCACCAGTGATGTGGCTGACCATCATGTTCCGCCAGTGATGTAGCTGACCATCATGTTCTGTCAGTGATGTGGCTGACCATCATGTTCTGAGTGATGTGGCTGACCATCATGTTCCACCAGTGATGTGGCTGACCATCATGTTCTGTCAGTGATGTGGCAGACCATCATGTTCTGTCAGTGATGTGGCTGACCATCATGTTCTGTCAGTGATGTGGCTGACCATCATGTTCCACCAGTGATGTGGCTGGCCATCATGTTCTGAGTGATGTGGCTGACCATCATGTTCTGAGTGATGTGGCTGACCATCATGTTCTGCCAGTGATGTGGCTGACCATCATGTTCTGAGTGATGTGGCTGACCATCATGTTCTGAGTGATGTGGCTGACCATCATGTTCTGAGTGATGTGGCTGACCATCATGTTCTGCCAGTGATGTGGCTGACCACCATGTTCTGCCAGTGATGTGGCTAACTATCATGTTCTGAGTGATGTGGCTGACCATCATGTTCTGCCAGTGATGTGGCTGACCACCATGTTCTGCCAGTGATGTGGCTAACCATCATGTTCTGTCAGTGATGTGGCTGACCATCATGTTCTGTCAGTGATGTGGCTGACCATCATGTTCCACCAGTGATGTGGCTGGCCATCATGTTCCGAGTGATGTGGCTGACCATCATGTTCTGAGTGATGTGGCTGACCATCATGTTCTGCCAGTGATGTGGCTGACCATCATGTTCTGCCAGTGATGTGGCTGACCATCATGTTCTGAGTGATGTGGCTGACCATCATGTTCTGAGTGATGTGGCTGACCATCATGTTCTGAGTGATGTGGCTGACCATCATGTTCTGCCAGTGATGTGGCTGACCATCATGTTCTGTTCTGGAGTGATGTGGCTGACCATCATGTTCTGCTAGTGATGTGGCTGACCATCATGTTCTGCCAGTGATGTGGCTGACCATCATGTTCTGAGTGATGTGGCTGACCATCATGTTCCGCCAGTGATGTGGCTGACCATCATGTTCTAAGTGATGTGGCTGACCAGTGATGTGGCTGACCATCATGTTCTGAGTGATGTGGCTGACTATCATGTTCCACTAGTGATGTGGCTGACCATCATGTTCCACCAGTGATGTGGCTGACCATCATATTCTGCCAGTGATGTGGCTGACCATCATGTTCTGCCAGTGATGTGGCTGACCATCATGTTCTGAGTGATGTGGCTGACCATCATGTTCTGCCAGTGATGTAGCTGACCATCATGTTCTGTCAGTGATGTGGCTGACCATCATGTTCTGAGTGATGTGGCTGACCATCATGTTCTGCCATTGATGTGGCTGACCATCATGTTCTGAGTGATGTGGCTGACCATCATGTTCCGCCAGTGATGTGGCTGACCATCATGTTCTAAGTGATGTGGCTGACTATCATGTTCCGCCAGTGATGTGGCTGACCATCATGTTCTGAGTGATGTGGCTGACCATCATGTTCTGAGTGATGTGGCTGACTATCATGTTCTGCCAGTGATGTAGCTGACCATCATGTTCTGTCAGTGATATGGCTGACTATCATGTTCTGAGTGATGTGGCTGACCATCATGTTCTGAGTGATGTGGCTGACCATCATGTTCTGCCAGTGATGTGGCTGACTATCATGTTCTGTCAGTGATGTGGCTGACTATCATGTTCTGTCAGTGATGTGGCTGACTATCATGTTCTGAGTGATGTGGCTGACCATCATTTCTGAGTGATGTGGCTGACCATCATGTTCTGCCAGTGATGTAGCTGACCATCACATTCTGCCAGTGATGTGGCTGACTATCATGTTCTGCCAGTGATGTGGCTGACCATCATGTTCCGCCAGTGATGTGGCTGACCATCATGTTCCACCAGTGATGTGGCTGACCATCATGTTCCACCAGTGATGTGGCTGACCATCATGTTCTGAGTGATGTGGCTGACCATCATGTTCTGAGTGATGTGGCTGACCATCATGTTCCACTAGTGATGTGGCTGACCATCATGTTCTGAGTGATGTGGCTGACCATCATGTTCTGAGTGATGTGGCTGACTATCATGTTCCACTAGTGATGTGGCTGACCATCATGTTCCACCAGTGATGTGGCTGACCATCATATTCTGCCAGTGATGTGGCTGACCATCATGTTCTGCCAGTGATGTGGCTGACCATCATGTTCTGTCAGTGATGTGGCTGACCATCATGTTCTACCAGTGATGTGGCTGACCATCATGTTCTGCCAGTGATGTGGCTGACCATCATGTTCTGTCAGTGATGTGGCTGACCATCATGTTCTGTCAGTGATGTGGCTGACCATCATGTTCTGCCAGTGATGTGGCTGACTATCATGTTCTGCCAGTGATGTGGCTGACCATCATGTTCTGTCAGTGATGTGGCTGACCATCATGTTCTGTCAGTGATGTGGCTGACCATCATGTTCCGCTAGTGATGTGGCTGACCATCATTTTCTGTCAGTGATGTGGCTGACCATCATGTGCTGAGTGATGTGGCTGACTATCATGTTCTGCCAGTGATGTGGCTGACCATCATGTTCCACTAGTGATGTGGCTGACTATCATGTTCTGTCAGTGATGAGGCTGACCATCATTTTCTGTCAGTGATGTGGCTGACCATCATGTTCTGCCAGTGATGTGGCTGACCATCATGTTCTGTCAGTGATGTGGCTGACCATCATGTTCTGCCAGTGATGTGGCTGACTATCATGTTCTGCCAGTGATGTGGCTGACTATCATGTTCTGTCTGTGATGTGGCTGACCATCAAGTTCTGTCAATGATGTGGCTGACCATCATGTTCCACTAGTGATGTGGCTGACCATCATGTTCTAAGTGATGTGGCTGACCCTCATGTTCTGAGTGATGTGGCTGACCCTCATGTTTTGCCAGTGATGTGGCTGACCATCATGTTCCACTAGTGATGTGGCTGACCATCATGTTCTGAGTTATGTGGCTGACCCTCATGTTCTGAGTGATGTGGCTGACCCTCATGTTCCGCCAGTGATGTGGCTAACCATCATGTTCTGTCAGTGATGTGGCTGACCATCATGTTCTGAGTGATGTGGCTGACCATCAGGTTCCACCAGTGATGTGGCTGACCATCATGTTCTGTCAGTGATGTGGCTGACCATCATGTTCTTTCAGTGATGTGGCTGACCATCATGTTCTGTCAGTGATGTGGCTGACCATCATATTCCACCAGTGATGTGGTTGACCATCATGTTCTGTCAGTGATGTGGCTGACCATCATGTTCCACCAGTGATGTGGCTGACCATCATATTCTGAGTGATGTGGCTGACCCTCATGTTCTGAGTGATGTGGCTGACCATCATGTTCTGAGTGATGTGGCTGACCATCATGTTCTGAGTGATGTGGCTGACCATCATGTTCTGAGTGATGTGGCTGACCATCATGTTCTGCCAGTGATGTGGCTAACTATCATGTTCTGCTAGTGATGTGGCTGACTATCATATTCTGTCAGTGATGTGGCTGACCATCATGTTCCACCAGTGATGTGGCTGACCATCATGTTCCGCCAGTGATGTGGCTGACCATCATGTTCTGAGTGATGTGGCTGACCATCATGTTCTGCCAGTGATGTAGCTGACCATCATGTTCTGTCAGTGATGTGGCTGACCATCATGTTCTGAGTGATGTGGCTGACCATCATGTTCTGCCAGTGATGTGGCTGACCATCATGTTCTGAGTGATGTGGCTGACCATCATGTTCCGCCAGTGATGTGGCTGACCATCATGTTCCACCAGTGATGTGGCTGACCATCATGTTCCGCCAGTGATGTGGCTGACCATCATGTTCTGAGTGATGTGGCTGACCATCATGTTCTGCCAGTGATGTAGCTGACCATCATGTTCTGCCAGTGATGTGGCTGACCATCATGTTCTGTCAGTGATGTGGCTGACCATCATGTTCTGCCAGTGATGTGGCTGACCATCATGTTCTGAGTGATGTGGCTGACCATCATGTTCCGCCAGTGATGTGGCTGACCATCATGTTCTGAGTGATGTGGCTGACCATCATGTTCCACCAGTGATGTGTCTGACTATCATGTTCTGAGTGATGTGGCTGACTATCATGTTCTGCCAGTGATGTGGCTGACCATCATGTTCTGAGTGATGTGGCTGACCATCATGTTCTGAGTGATGTGGCTGACCATCATGTTCTGCCAGTGATGTGGCTGACTATCATGTTCTGTCAGTGATGTGGCTGACTATCATGTTCTGTCAGTGATGTGGCTGACTATCATGTTCTGAGTGATGTGGCTGACCATCATGTTCTGAGTGATGTGGCTGACCATCATGTTCTGCCAGTGATGTAGCTGACCATCATGTTCTGCCAGTGATGTGGCTGACTATCATGTTCTGCCAGTGATGTGGCTGACCATCATGTTCTGAGTGATGTGGCTGACCATCATGTTCTGAGTGATGTGGCTGACCATCATGTGCTGAGTGATGTGGCTGACCATCATGTTCTGAGTGATGTGGCTGACTATCATGTTCTGCCAGTGATGTGGCTGACTATCATGTTCTAAGTGATGTGGCTGACCATCATGTTCTGAGTGATGTGGCTGACTATCATGTTCTGCCAGTGATGTAGCTGACCATCATGTTCTGTCAGTGATATGGCTGACCATCATGTTCTGAGTGATGTGGCTGACCATCATGTTCTGAGTGATGTGGCTGACTATCATGTTCTGAGTGATGTGGCTGACCATCATGTTCTGCCAGTGATGTAGCTGACTATCATGTTCTGCCAGTGATGTAGCTGACCATCATGTTCTGTCAGTGATGTGGCTGACCATCATGTTCTGCCAGTGATGTAGCTGACCATCATGTTCTGCCAGTGATGAAGCTGACCTTCATGTTCTGCCAGTGATGTAGCTGACCTTCATGTTATGCCAGTGATCAATGTTTTGTCACTCTATTTGGTGCAGCCATATTTATTTTGCCACAGTGACCTTGGGGTAAGTTACATAACCTTGAATCTAACCTGAGGCTGAGCATTTTAACTAAGACAGTCAGCTTTGTTCTGCTCTCACTGGAGCAAAAATTTCTGGACATACAATTCTTCCATGGGACACACAGCTCTGTTCTGCTCTTAGTGGAGCAAATATTTCTGGACATACAATTCTTCCATGAGACACACAGCTCTGTTCTGCTCTCAGTGGAGCAAATATTTATGAACACACAATTCTTCCATGAGACACACAGCTCTGTTCTGCTCTCAGACACACAGCTCTGTTCTGCTCTCAGACACACAGCTCTGTTCTGATCTTAGTGGAGCAAATATTTCTGGACATACAATTCTTCCATGAGACACACAGGACTGATACATGATAATATAATGATTTTCAATAATAATAAAAACTCCATTCTTCTTGTTGGAGAACACAAGTAATTGTTCTAACTATGTATACTGTCAGTTCAGTCTGTACTTCTGGTTGTAACAAGAAGTTAACTGCCTTATAGATGTGTAATTAGTTGAAGAAAACAGACACTGAAAAATGATTATCTGTTTAAATTATTGTTTGAGAGTATTATCAGATCATTGGTCACTTACGTTCAATGTTTGTCCATGTACTTGCGTTGGCCACACAGGTCTGCTGTGTGTTCTTCCTGTTAACAAATCCTAGGCCATAGCATTGGCCATCAATGATGCAGATGTTCATCTGGGTCAAAGTAACAATCACATGTTATTTCTTGTTTCAGTTCGTCAGGAAAAACATGATGAATATTAGCAGGCTCTCTCTCTCTCTCTTACACACAAACACACATGCACTCACGCATGCATGCACGAATGCAATCATGAATGCACGCACACATGCAGGCATGCCCACATGCATGTGTACACACATACATGCATGGACGCACGCACACATGCATTCACACACATACACACACACACACACACACACACACACCACACACTTCCAAAAAAACGAACATTGAAAGTTGAGAATAAAATTCTGGTACAACCAAAAGGCCTGCAGCCGTCAGCAGATTACAATAACATCTATTCAATAGATTCAATAGTTACAGCGTAACTAGAGGTGCCATTTATCATGGACGGATATTAGAAGGTCACAAATATTTTACTAACATGAGCTAACAAAATGGAATGCTGACCTTGAGATTACAGCCATCTTTGGTACAATCATAGCAGACAGCATCAAAGCTGACAAATATGACTTGAGCACTGATGACTGTGATATTTCCTACATTGCTGACCACAACCGTGTAAACACCACTTGCTGGTAGTGAACAAATGACCATCTCAGAGCTGATGTACGTTGCATTGACCTCGATGTAGCTGCTGTTGGCCATCACACTGAAAGTGTTGTTGACTCTCTGCAGAAACAAAACATCTCATTCATTAATTCCTGAGAACAGTTCCAGCACTGGAAAGCTGAATGTTTATTGTGCTGGTGACTCTCTGCAGAAACAAAACATCTCATTCATTAATGCCTGAGAACAGTTGCAGCACCAGAAAGCTGAATGTTTATATTTTAAACTATTGGCAAAAAAAAAAAAAAACAATTCCTGGAGTGAGAAATAAATCTGCAACAGATTCAGGGATATCTGAAATAACACAGCAAACACAAAATATTCAATATTTCAATGTGAATCTCTTCATGTCAGTGAGGATGTGACACTTGCTGCCTCCATCTTGTACTTTTGTGAAACACATTTTCAAGAGAGTCTACATCTGCTCTCTCTCTAGTTAGTTTACAGTTTTCATCAAGGAGGACTGTCTGTATCTACTCTTTCTCTAGTCAGTTTACAGTTTTCCTCAAGGAAGACTGTCTACATCTGCTCTCTCTAGTTAGTTTACAGTTTTCATCTACTCTCTCTCTCTCTCTAGTCAGTTTACAGTTTTCATCTACTCTCTCTCTAGTCAGTTTACAGTTTTCCTCAAGGAGGACTGTCTATATCCACTCTCTCTCAAGTTGGTTTACAGTTTTCCTCAAGGAAGACTGTCTACATCTACTCTTTCTAGTTAGTTTACAGTTTTCCTCAAGAAGGACTATGTATATCTACTCTTTCTCTAGTAAGTTTACAGTTTTTATCTACTCTCTCTCTCTAGTTAGTTTACAGTTTTCATCTACTCTCTCTCTAGTTAGTTTACATTTTTCCTCAAGGAAGAATGTCTACATCTACTCTCTCTAGTCAGTTTACAGTTTACCTCAAGGAGGACTGTCTATATCTACTCTCTCTCTATTTAGTTTACAGTTTTTCTCAAGGAGGACTGTCTACATCTACTCTTTCTAGTTTGTTTACAGTTTTCCTGAAGAAGGACTTTATATCTACTCTCTCTCTAGTTAGTTTACAGTTTTCCTCAAGGAAGACTGTTTACATCTACTCTCTCTCTCTCTCTAGTTAGTTTACAGTTTTCCTCAAGGAGGACTGTCTGCATCTACTCTTTCTAGTCAGTTAGCAATTTTCATCAAGGAGGACTGTCTATATCTACTCTCTATAGTCAGTTTACAGTTTTCATCAAGGAGGACTGTCTGCATCTATTCTCTCTAGTTAGTTTACAGTTTTCATCAAGGAGGACTGTCTTCATCTATTCTCTCTAGTTAGTTTACAGTTTTCATCAAGGAGGACTGTCTTCATCTATTCTCTCTAGTTAGTTTACAGTTTTCATCAAGGACTACTGTCTGTATCTTCTCTCTCTCTCTCTAGTTGGTTTACAGTTTTCATCAAGGAGGACCGACTTGTTTATTTTTCTATCATTTTAGGAGGTTCTTTGAATTTTTTTTTTAAAAGCACAGCTCCGATGTGAGTAGGTTTGAGTTAGTTTTTTTGCTTATTGTCAGTATCTTCTAGCAACACAGGTTTTATTTACAGCACTTTAACACTCTCTTTCATCTGGCATCAGATTTTATGACTTGTTCATGAAAGTTGTATCAATAGTTACAGACAGACACATACCTTCATTGCTTGAACATAACAGACCAGCTTGGAGGAATGCACAAATCCAGTTCCAATGATGGTGACAGACAAACATTCAGACAGTCTGACATCACAGACTCCGTCTGGTGGCTCAAACACTGCCGGAGGTGTCTGGGCACTGACAGAACAATCATCTCCGAGGTAACCTTCGTCACACTGGCATCCATCTGAAAAACAAGGAAGGCATAGGAACTGTACAGTTCATGAGTTGGTGAGCATATTCAATACAATGGAGCAAATGGATCATCACAGTCTGGAGAGAGTGGTGCAGTGGCAAGTGACGAGGGGATCTGGCCAATACTCAACACTCAGAGGCAAGGCAAGACTGGCATATAATTAGACTGCAAATGGCACCACTGGTACTGGAACCCTGCACTGGCTGCTGAAGATGGAGCAGAGCGGTTATGGAAATGCCCAAGTGCTATAATGTGGGTTCTTGAATAAACTCAACAGAATAACATCTTCTCCACACAAAGCACATCCGTGCTGGAGAGAACAGTCAAGCACAGAAACATTCTTACCACTGAAACACTGGCCACGCCCACTACAGTTGCTGGCACATTGAAGGACATCTAGCAGATCTGGAGGCACTTCCACATCTTGTGTTCCATTGATCGTTTCATTTACCCAGAGGTCGACACTGAGCTCAATCAAGGTCTGACACCGATGGATGAATGTCTTCACAGCCGAGCTGGTCCAAGTCAAGTTCTTTGACAGCTGCGCATCAAGGACACACATGTCTATGGTCTCTGTCAGCTCTTCTCCAATTATCTTCTGACATTTCTCAAAGGTTGAGCTGGCTTCAATTGTCTTCCGACATTCAATAACAGCTTTGTCAAATGTAAGTCCATCAGTTGGCCAGGGAGTCACCTGAAGGAATGATCAAGTAAGCTGTTGATTATTTCATATAAATATATGTGTACATCAGAGGACAGCAACAGTGAGTGTACACATTCTAAAACTATACATGTGAATATTTAACATTATGTTAACTCAACAACACTTTTGTTGTCAGGTGTGGATGGTCTTAACCTGGTTGCAGGAGCTAGAGTCAGCATCAGTGGTTTCAACAAATAAAAACTGTATCTGGTTTGTAATCCCCAGATTCCTGGTTTGATTCCAGTGTGGGCGATTTGGCAGCAGCCCGCTTTGCACTGATTTCAGCAATAGTATTGAGAGTTGACTGTTTAGAAAGCAATGGCAAACTACTGAAAGTAAAATTGCCTAGTAAAATCACAAACAGCCAAAACATACTGGCGTTTGTTGTGCAACATCCTGTAAAAGATACACAACTAACTAACAGACTGTGTACAGACTTTTCAGTGTCAAAAAAAAAAAATGATAGGAGCTGGCTGAGAAATTGAGCAGTAACAATATCCACCTCAGACACTTTGGTTGTTGAAAGAAATCAGTCTGGGAAATGAGCTGCATTACTCAACTCTCCTGGCACACACACACTAGCAATAGATGAAATGCCGCCACAAGCAAAACAAACAAACAAGAAAATATTTGGATGAAATCCTAGAACATGACAACTAACTGGCACCTGGTGAACATAAGTTTGGTCGTATTCAAACTCCTGTCCAGGCTGTGAGGTCAGACACTTCCGAGGTGGCTTCTGGGTGCTCTTGTCTTGGATCACCTGTGCTGTGATGTCTTTCTCTGCAAAGAAAAACCGCCAGATTTAGTTCAAGCTCATCTCTAAGGTCTGGACAGGATAATGGCTTCATTTAGCTTAGGTAACATTTTTGTGATGTTTAGTGACTGATTTCTTTCTCTCACTTGCATACTCTTTGCAGATAGTGGATTAAGTCATTGTGAAACTCCTCTGTGCATGCAGTTACCTTCATCTTTGTCCCAAGATATGCAGTTGGAACTGATAGACAGGCTAATTCTGCCTTAGTTGCAGATGGAGTGCACTGCCATTGTTAATGCCCTTAGAGAGATATGATGATCCAACAATTTAGGAAGCAGCTGTCCTCATCACTGCTAAGATTTAGAGAACTGTGAGTAGAGTTGGCACAGCCAAGCATGAGAGGCACACCAGATTTATAAGAAGTCTTATTAACCAGCATAAGACTGACACTATTAACTATGGGATGCTTATGTATATGTTGAAGGGAGAATCTGAGCACCTATGGACATGTCCTGAGTGCTGTGAAGAAAACCCAAATCACAACTCTTCATCTACCCAGTGAAGTGGAGGGAAGGCAGGGGGAGTTTCCTTGTACCTCTTCACATCAATGAGTTTGTTCTGCACTGCTCTAGCTACAGCCTAGCACTAAAGAGAAAGAATCAGATGAACAGTTGAGCACTAAAGATAATCAATCAGTTGAACAGTTGAGCACTAAAGAGAATCAATCAGTTGAACAGTCTAGCACTAAAGAGAATCAATCAGATGAACAGTCTAGCACTAAAGAGAATCAATCAGATGAACAGTTGAGCACTAAAGAGAATCAATCAGTTGAACAGTTGAGCCCTAAAGAGAATCAATCAGATGAACAGTCTAGCACTAAAGAGAATCAATCAGATAAACAGTCTAGCACTAAAGAGAATCAATCAGATGAACAGTCTAGCACTAAAGAGAATCAATCAGATGAACAGTCTAGCACTAAAGAGAATCAATCAGATGAACAGTCTAGCACTAAAGAGAATCAATCAGATGAACAGTTGAGCACTAAAGAGAATCAATCAGATGAACAGTTGAGCACTAAAGAGAATCAATCAGTTGAACAGTTGAGCACTAAAGAGAATCAATCAGATGAATAGTTGAGCACTGACCAGCTGGGGAGCTGACTCTAGTTGGGCTGCTGCAAGAGAAGCTGACTAGGTCACTGGAGCAGGCCTGAGAATTCACATGGCAGTCACAGAAGGATGTCATCAGGGCTGGTGTCATGGCTGGTCTCATACAAACTCCTGTGTAGATTGATTCTTCTGCATCTGTGATTCTGGGCAATAGAAAGCAGTACAATTACAAACTGTTTTCACTTTTGATCAATAAATTTATATCAGAATATGGCAATAACACTGACACAAATAAGTACACAGAAGTATTTGTCAGAGTGCGGAAACATGACAGAAACAGCTATGTGTCAACAAATGAGATGCAAGCAAATACTTAAATTAGTAAAAGATATATGCATTGAGAAGAAATTAAATCATTATAATCATCAAAGTCCACTTCTGCCATTAAGGATTGTGGGGAGGAACAGTTTGCGATCCACTGTTTGATGGGCAGCAATGGCTACTGTCATTCTGTGTCGATGTACAAGCTTTTTAATGTCATCAATCCATATTTCCTAGAGCAGCCTCTTGCTTTCATTTCAGATCTGTTCATGTAAAGTGCCCTTGTTGGTAGTTGTTCTGGCAGCATTCTTACTAAATACTTAATTTGTATGCAATTGTGGATGTTTCTTGAGAGGATTTCATTGGCAGATAAAATCTAATTGTTCTTGCTGTTTCTAAATATCTGTGTTTGCATGCCAGATTTTAATTATTGCCTTTTATAAGCAACAACTGATGCACTCTACATAATGTTAACATGAGCCTTCAGATGGGAAAGAGTGACACCCTATCTGCTTGATCACCCATGTTATAGCTGATAATTCACTGTTTTCATTACAAAGTTAACACTGATCAATGACCTATGATTACCTCCATGTAGCTGATAATTTACTGTTTTCATTACAAAATTAACACTAAACAATGACTACATGATTAACTCCATGTAGCTGATAATTTACTGTTTTCATTACAAAGTTAACACTGAACAATGACTGACTACATGATTAACTCCATGAAGCTGATAATTTACTGTTTTCATTACAAAGTTAACACTGAGCAATGACCTATGATTACCTCCATGTAGCTGATAATTTACTGTTTTCATTACAAATTTAACAATGAGCAATGACCTATGATTACCTCCATGTAGCTGATAATTTACTGTTTTCATTACAAAGTTAACAATGAGCAATGACCTATGATTACCTCCATGTAGCTGATAATTTACTGTTTTCATTACAAAGTTAACACTGAGCAAAGACCACATGACTTCCTACATGCAGCTAATAATTAATTCACTATTTGTTCTCAGTACAAAGTTAATAATGAACAGAGACCACATGACTTCTTTCATGCAGCTGATAAATGATTCACTGTTTCTTTTCAGTACAAAGTTAACATTGAGCAAAGACCATATGATTACCTCCAGGAAGCTGATAATTCATCGTCATCTTCAGCCACACGATTCAGTGAACTGAGCCACCTGTCATTGTCACGGTCACCATCAAAATTGCCACACAAGCCTTCGACTTTCTGGATGTCCAGCACCGAGGGGTGAACAAACACATTCAAGTACTTGTCTCTGAGACTTTTTGCTGTGCTGATGTGTGTTCCACTGGGCAGCTTGATCTATAGGTGGGGAAAACAAGATTCCATAGTGTTCATCATCTTTGTAATACTTTCTCTACATGACATGCACAAAAACAGTGATTGCCATATCCCTAATGTAACATCAACCATGTATTTGCGTTTCATGCAAATGATTACCTGGTATTTTGCTGAGATAGAAATATGAGACGGGGACAACCTAAGAAGACCTAGAGAAGGAGGACAGAGAGGGAAATGAAGAAATGTAAAATGACATGGAATACCATGGGCAGACCATCAGCAGACCTGAGGTAAATGGGGATCACTGGTAAAAGTTTTACATGTCAACAGGACATGAGGAGGGTATAAAAAGTTACATTTGGGAGGAATTGCAGATATTCTACTCTAACTATTTCTGCTACTTCCAGAATTGTTCAGTGCCTGAGCTGAGTGTTTTTGCTGCCTATATTGAATTGAGAAGGATAGCCAGCATCTCTGGAGGCAGACTCAATAAATATGCTCAAGAAAATCCAGGTTGGATTCAAAAGACAAGAATGGATGGTATCACTAAGCCTTTTGTGAATGGCTGGCCTGACCTTCATCTTTGTGCCAGGTCATACTGGTGTTTAAGGCAATGAACATGCAGATTATCTTTGCAACACTGCAGTTGCTATGGCTGGACTGGACAGAAGTGATGTCATCAATGCGCTGCACAACACTTATGATGACAGCAAATACAAAAAAAGGGTGGTAACTCAGTAATGCTGTCAAGGATGATAGACATGGAAGTACAACCTGGAGCTACAAGAAATGAATACATTAAAACAGAACAAGCATCATCAGTTTTTTATACTTGTGGAGCTATTGAAAAGGAGACCACGATGATAATTCTCACTAATCACTAAGCTGGAGAGCAACACACAAAAAACAAATATTGTGCATGGAATATTATCTCCTATCTCTGAAGAATAAAAATGGATACTGTGCATAAAATTTTATCTCCTATCGCTGGAAAACAGAAATGGATACTGAGCCTAAAATAGTATCTCCTATCTCTGGAGCACAGAAACTGATACAGTGCCTAGAATATTATCTGCCATCTCTGGAGAACAAAAAAAGATACTGTGCATAGAATATTATCTCCTATCTCTGGAGAACAGAAATCGATACAGTGCCTAGAATATTATCTCCTATCTCTAGAGAACAGAAACTAATTTTGTGCACAGAATATTATCTGCTATCTCTGGAGAACAGAAACTGATACAGTGCCTAGAATATTATCTTCTATCTCTAGAGAACTGAAATTGATACAGTGCCTAGAATATTATCTACTATCTCTGGAGAACAGAAACAGATACAGTGCCTAGAATATTATCTCCTATCTCTAGAAAACAGAAACTAATATTGTGCACAGAATATTATCTGCTATCTCTGGAGAACAGAAACAGATACAGTGCCTAGAATATTATCTCCTATCTCTAGAGAACAGAAACTGATACAGTGCCTAGAATATTATCTCCTATCTCTGAAGAACAAAAATGGATACTGTGCATAAAATATTATCTCCTATCGCTGGAAAACAGAAATGGATACTATGCCTAAAATAGTATCTCCTATCTCTGGAGCACAGAAACTGATACAGTGCCTAGAATATTATCTGCTATCTCTGGAGAACAAAAATAGATTCTGTGCATAGAATAGAATATTATCTCCTATCTCTGGAGAACAGAAATGGATACTGTGTTTGAAGCCAGTTGTTATACTCACTGTTATTGTCTCATCCCGTGATCGGAAGATGCGTGTGTTTGAAGTCAGCTCTCCATTCAAGTAGGCAGTGATGGTCATGGGATGGAAAACATTGGTTTCTCCTTGTCCTGCTCCACATTTATCTATGACAATGACATCATCGTTTGATCGTACAGCCACAGCACAAACACAGGAAGCATATGAATGATAGTCCGTACATCTCCGCAGAAAGACACGAACCTCATAGTCCAGTTCTCTGTTTCTAAGCAGTAGAAACTGTCCTTCCAAGTAGTTGTTAAAAAACCTGGTAGTCAAGACAAACAAGCAAAATAATGATACTGTTGGACAGAGATGACATCATTATTTGGCAAATCTACATTTTCTTCAACAGAGATAGCCACATTAGTGGCCAAATGGCGAAGCATTCCTGTCGGTACCAAAAAGTAGCTGTTTTGAATCCTCCTAGACGAAACAAACATAAACTGTTCTATGCTAAACAGCCATTTCTCTCTCTTCTGTTACCCAATAGTACTTTGATACTTCATGTACTTTAATACAGCATTGTTCCATTACCCTCCAGGGGCTGCTAGTGCCACTTTGGGAAACACTAACCTAAACCTATATTTAAAACTACTCTACTCTCTAAATAAACAGACAAATCTAATCATGCTACTCTCAAAGCCTACAATTAAATCTACCTTCTAAACCTGCAGACAAATGTCTGTGAATACTCTCTACTCACCCGTTATCAATAGTGTAAATGTGAGGGTCTCCAATGATTTTACATTCCGCTGTCACATCTTTGTCCTTCACTTCCACCTGCGTAGATATTTGAATATATTTATAGTTAGAAAATAGACTCAATATTTTTTATAGATGTTTGAATTCAGCACCTATTCTATCAGCAGCATTACACTTAATCACTAGACTAACAATTGGATTTGTTCATCTCATAGATGTTTCCTCTTCTTGCCTCAAGTTCCTTTTCTTTTCAGTGTATGACAAAAATATCACTTCTTGATACTGATTATTTTTGTGTTCAACTTTCACAGAATCGATTACACACACAATTTATGTTGATTGTAAGCGATTTAGCATTAAAAAGCCTCACTCCATGAGTATTTGTAAGAGCAAAAAAATTTTATACCTTGAAATTACAATATTTAACACATAGTGTGTGTGTATGTGTGTGTGTATGTGTGTGTATATGTGTGTGTATGTGTGTGTATGTGTGTGTTTAGGTGTGTGTGTGAAGGTGTGTGTGTAGGTGTGTGTGTGTGTGTAGGTGTGTGTGTATGTGTGTGTGTGGGTAGGTGTGTGTAGATGTGTGTGTAGGTGTTTGTGTGTAGGTGTGTGTGTGTAGGTGTGTGTGTGTAGATGTGTGTAGGTATGTGTGTAGGTGTGTGTAGGTGTGTGTGTAGGTGTGTGTGTAGGTGTGTGTGTGTAGGTGTGTGTGTGTAGGTGTGTGTGTAGGTGCATGTATGTAGGTGTGTGTGTGAATGTGTGTGTAGGTGTGTGTAGGTGTGTGTGTAGGTGTGTGTGTGTAGGTGTGTGTGTAGGTGTGTGTGTAGGTGCATGTGTATGTGCGTGTGCGTGCGTGCGTGCATGCATGCATGTGTGTGTGTGTGTATGTGTGTGTATGTGTGTATGTATGAAGTATGTATGAAGTATGTATGTATGTACGTATGTATGTATGTACATATGTATGTATGTATGTACATACATATGTATGTATGTATGTACAGATGTATGTATGTGTGTGTGTGTGTATATAGGTATGTATATATGAATTTGTATGTATGTGTGTACATTTGTGCGAGTGTGTATGTAAGTGGGTTTGTGTGTGTAAATGGGTGAGTGTGTGTTTACGTGCGTCAGCTTGCACATGCATTTTACCACTCTTACTTTTGTATTTTGGCTTGATATATTTTTATAATATGCATATTATTATTTGATAAAAACATGCTTTATTGATAAACTGCAACTGCTTTGTGAAAGATGAGTGTTTGGAAGGGCCGATTGTAAGACAGGCCTGTGTGCCTAATTTGTGACCCTTTGGAAATAAAGTTAGTTCATTCGTTCATTCTACTGGTCAGCTATAAATCTTCTTAATGGGCACTGGTCAACTATAAATATTTTCACTGGGCACTGGTCATCTTTAAATCATCCTGCCAGGCACTGGTCATCTATAAATCTTCCTGCCAGGCACTGGTCAGCTATAAATCTTCCTGCCAGGCACTGGTCAGCTATAAATCTTCCTGTCAGGCACTGGTCAGCTATAAATCTTCTTACCAACACAGTCAGCTAGAAATGGTCCAACTAAACAGCAAAAAATCTTCACACTGAGTAATGTTCAGTAATAAATTCCCTATTGGACAGGATATTGGTCAACGAAATCTTCTTATTGGACATTGGTCAGCTAGGCATCTTTCTCACTGATCAGTAGGACATCTTCCTCACTGATCAGTAGGACATCTTGATCACTGATCAGTAGGACATCTTCCTCACTGATCAGTAGGACATCTTCCTCACTGATCAGTAGGACATCTTCCTCACTAATCAGTAGGACTTCCTCACTGATCAGTAGGACATCTTCCTCACTGATCAGTAGGACGTCTTCCTCACTGATCAATAAGACATCTTCCTCACTGATCAATAGGACATCTTCCTCACTGATCAGCAAGACATCTTCCTCACTGATCAGTAGGATATCTTCCTCACTGATCAGTAGGACATCTTCCTCACTGATCAGTAGGACATCTTGATCACTGATCAGTAGGACATCTTCCTCACTGATCAGTAGGACATCTTCCTCACTGATCAGTAGGACATCTTCCTCACTGATCAGTAGGACATCTTGATCACTGATCAGTAGGACATCTTGATCACTGATCAGTAGGACATCTTCCTCACTGATCAGTAGGACATCTTCCTCACTGATCAGTAGGACATCTTCCTCACTGATCAGTAGGACATCTTCCTCACTGATCAGTAGGACATCTTGATCACTGATCAGTAGGACATCTTCCTCACTGATCAATAAGACATCTTCCTCACTGATCAGTAAGACATCTTCTCACTGATCAGTAGGACATCTTGATCACTGATCAGGAGGACATCTTCCTCACTGATCAGCAAGACATCTTCCTCACTGATCAGCAAGACAACTTCCTCACTGATCAGTAGGACATCTTCCCCACTGATCAGCAAGACATCTTCCTCACTGATCAGTAGGACATCTTGATCACTGATCAGTAGGATATCCTCCTCACTAATCAGTAGGACATCTTCCTCACTGATCAGTAGGACATCTTCCTCACTGATCAGTAGGACATCTTGATCACTGATCAGTAGGACATTTTCCTCACTGATCAGTAGGACATCTTCCTCACTGATCAGTAGGACATCTTCCTCACTGATCAGTAAGACATCTTCCTTACTGATCAGTAGGACTTCTTACTCACTGATCAGTAGGACATCTTCCTCACTGATCAGTAGGACATCTTCCTCACTGATCAGTAGGACATCTTCCTCACTGATCAGTAGGACATCTTCCTCACTGATCAGCAAGAAATCTTTCAAATAGAATCTAGTCAGCTGGACATGCGTTTTGGATTGAATACTGTTTGGGAAAAAAAATATTACCTGAATAACATTGACAGTTTGGGTCCACAGAATCCTGTTTGTGATCTGTAGCATCACGTTGACCTCCAGCAGTCTTCTCTGTGTTCTATCCTTTAGGCCATCTACACCAGCCTGAACTGATATGTTGACCCCTGACAGCCAGTTGAGTGAGGTCATGGCCACTCTACACAAGGTACTGCTGGAATCATTGTGTGAGACAGAGCTCCAGACAAGTACAGCTTGTGGCACCCTCTGCTTGTCCAGACACTGCAAATGCCAACACATTAACACACTTCAAAACACAGACACTAGAGCAAAACAACACAAGACACAGACACTAGAGAACAACAACACAAGACACAGACACTAGAGCAAAACAACACAAGACACAGACACTAGAGAACAACAACACAAGACACAGACACTAGAGCAAAACAACACAAGACACAGACACTAGAGAACAACAACACAAGACACAGACACTAGAGCAAAACAACACAAGACACAGACACTAGAGTACAGCAACACAAGACACAGACACTAGAGCAAAACAACACAAGACACAGACACTAGAGAACAACAACACAAGACACAGACACTAGAGCAAAACAACACAAGACACAGACACTAGAGTACAGCAACACAAGACACAGACACTAGAGCAAAACAACACAAGACACAGACACTAGAGAACAACAACACAAGACACAGACACTAGAGCAAAACAACACAAGACACAGACCCTAGAGTACAGCAACACAAGACACAGACACTAGAGAACAACAACACAAGGCACAGACACTAGAGAACAACAACACAAGACACAGACACTAGAGCAAAACAACACAAGACACAGACACTAGAGTACAGCAACACAAGACACAGACACTAGAGCAAAACAACACAAGACACAGACACTAGAGAACAACAACACAAGACACAGACACTAGAGCAAAACAACACAAGACACAGACACTAGAGTACAGCAACACAAGACACAGACACTAGAGCAAAACAACACAAGACACAGACACTAGAGGACAACAACACAAGACACAGACACTAGAGCAAAACAACACAAGACACAGACACTAGAGTACAGCAACACAAGACACAGACACTAGAGAACAACAACACAAAGCACAGACACTAGAGAACAACAACACAAGACACAGACACTAGAGCAAAACAACACAAGACACAGACACTAGAGTACAGCAACACAAGATACAGACACTAGAGAACAACAACACAAGGCACAGACACTAGAGAACATCAACATAGGACACAGACACTAGAGAACAACACAAGACACAGACACTAGAGAACAACAACACAAGATACAGACACTAGAGAACAACAACACAAGACACAGACACTAGAGCAAAACAACACAAGACACAGACACTAGAGTACAGCAACGCAAGATACAGACTAGAGAACAACAACACAAGGCACAGACACTAGAGAACATCAACATAGGACACAGACACTAGAGAACAACAACACAAGATACAGACACTAGAGAACAACAACACAAGACACAGACACTAGAGAACAACAACACAAGACACAGACACTAGAGCAAAACAACACAAGACACAGACACTAGAGTACAGCAACACAAGACACAGACACTAGAGAACAACAACACAAGGCACAGACACTAGAGAACATCAACATAGGACACAGACACTAGAGAACAACAACACAAGACACAGACACTAGAGAACAACAACACAAGACACAGACACTAGAGAACATCAACATAGGACAGAGACACTAGAGCAAAACAACACAAGACACAGACACTAGAGAACAACAACACAAGGCACAGACACTAGAGCAAAACAACACAAGACACAGACACTAGAGAACAACAACACAAGATACAGACACTAGAGAACAACACAAGACACAGACACTAGAGAACAACAACACAAGACACAGACACTAGAGCAAAACAACACAAGACATAGACCCTAGAGAACAACAACACAAGATACAGACACTAGAGAACAACAACACAAGACACAGACACTAGAGAACAACAACACAAGACACAGACACTAGAGCAAAACAACACAAGACACAGACACTAGAGAACAACAACACAAGACACAGACACTAGAGAACAACAACACAAGACACAGACACTAGAGAACAACAACACAAGACACAGATACTATAGCACAACAATTCAGGACAGAGACACAAGAGCACACCAACACAAGACACAGACACTAGAGAACAACAACACAAGACACAGACACTAGAGAACATCAACATAGGACACAGACACTAGAGAACAACAACTCAAGACACAGACACTAGAGAACAACAACACAAGACACAGACACTATAGCACAACAATTCAGGACAGAGACAGAAGAGCACTAGAACAATTGTTTCTTTGCTTTGCTTCTGTCCTGTATGAAGCTGTTTACTTGGTTCTTGTGCCTGGTGCAGACAAACTTACCTACTCTCTAAACAAAGAACTTTGTGACCCAACCCCAATGCTGTACACTCCACAAACCTCACTGAGTACAGGGAGGCAATGGCGTTCTTAAAACCTCTAATTCAGGCACACAGAAGGTATCTTTGCTGTCTCAAATCTGAACATCAGATACACTAGTGCTAACTTGCTGAGTGCCTACGGCTGACATTATACAGTTGAATTAAACTCAGTTTAAAAGAGAATGTAATGTTTGTAATTTCAAACAATTTGTGAATACTGACCTGATGTGTTTATACAGAGAGAACAGTCACTAATGATCAATATTCATGAAAATTAAGAAACAAATCAATCACACATAGACAACGACTGAAGTTGATACCTTCAACTCTCTGTCACTCACACTCTCCCCTCCCCCCCCCCCCCCCCACACAAGACACCCCCACCAAAATACATATATACACCCACACACACAACTATAGAAGTTGATTTCTTCAACTCCCTGTCACTCACACTCTCTCCCCCACACAAGACACACCTACCAAAATACATATATACACCCACACACACAACTATAGAAGTTGATATCTTTTGCTCTCCATTACTCTTTCTCTCTCCCACACACACATGGACGCCATCACCATCACACACATGCACCCACATACACAACTACAGAAGTTGATACCTTCAGCTCTACCACTCTTACTCACACACACACACACACACACACACACACACACACACACACACACAGACACACACACACACACACACTCACAGATGCCACAGCCATCACACACATGTACCCACATACACAACTACAGAAGTTGACACCTTCAGCTCTACCACTCTTGTTCTCTCACACACACACACACAAACACATGCACACACACACAGCCACACACACTCACACAGATGCCACAGCCATCACACACATGCACCCACATACAAAACTACAGAAGTTGATACCTTCAACTCTCTATCACTCTCCCTCCCTCACACAAGATACCACCACTAAACCACATATATATACCCACATACACAAGTACAGAAGTTGATACCTTCAGCTCTCTATTACTCACCCTCCCTTACACAAGACACCACACCACTAAACCACATATATACACCCACATACACAACTACAGAAGTTGATACCTTCAGTTCTCTATCATTTTGTAAGAACAGAGTTGAGATGAAGAGCACACAGTCGGTAGTTGAAATGTTGGAGGGACAGAAGACTCGAGGTGGCAGTGTGGACTTGATGGTTATCGGAGAAGATCTTTCACCTTCTGTCACAGTAATCTTCGTCTGCTGAATCTGCAATAAATAAAATTAATGTCACAGACAGCAGAACAGAACAGTTCCCTAGTTATTATCTGCGTCCATTTGTTCCAAACCCTATTCGGCTGAGAACACAAGATAAAACACTACTATGTATCTGAAACTGCCAGTACACCAGTATCAGACTAGTAGAGTAGCCAGCTAGTGTTTCATTGCTCCTACATGGTGGTGATGGTGTTGTTCAAACTGATGGTGATGACTAAGATGGATGGGACAGGTTTGTTATAATGTTACATGTAACAGCATTAACTGAGGCAGATGGGTCAGGGTTGTTATAATGTTACATGTAACAGCTTTAACTGAGGCAGATGGGTCATGGTTGTTATAATGTTACATGTAACAGTAATGACTGAGCCAGATGGGTCAGGGTTGTTATAATGTTACATGTAACAGTAATGACTGAGCCAGATGGGTCAGGTTTGTTATAATGTTACATGTAACAGCATTAACTGAGCCAGATGGGTCATGGTTGTTATAATGTTACATGTAACAGCTTTAACTGAGGCAGATGGGTCAGGGTTGTTATAATGTTACATGTAACAGTAATGACTGAGCCAGATGGGTCAGGTTTGTTATAATGTTACATGTAACAACATTAACTGAGCCAGATGGGTCATGGTTGTTATAAAGTTACATGTAACAGTAATGACTGAGGCAGATGGGTCAGGGTTGTTATAATGTTACATGTTACAACAATGACTGAGACAGATGGGACATTTTGGGACGGTGTTGTTATAATGTTACATGTAACAACAATGACTGAGACAGATAGGACAGTGTTGTTATAATGTTACATGTAACAACAATGACTGAGACAGATAGGACAGTGTTGTTATAATGTTACAACAATGACTGAGACAGATAGGACGGTGTTGTTATAATGTTACAACAATGACTGAGACAGATGGGACAGTGTTGTTATAATGTTACATGTAACAACAATGACTGAGACAGTTAGGACAGTGTTGTTATAATGTTACAACAATGACTGAGACAGATAGGACGGTGTTGTTATAATGTTACAACAATGACTGAGACAGATGGGACAGTGTTGTTATAATGTTACATGAAACAACAATGACTGAGACAGATAGGACAGTGTTGTTATAATGTTACAACAATGACTGAGACAGATGGGACAGGTTTGTTATAATGTTACAACAATGACTGAGACAGATGGGACAGGTTTGTTATAATGTTACAACAATGACTGAGACAGATAGGACAGTGTTGTTATAATGTTACAACAATGACTGAGACAGATAGGACAGTGTTGTTATAATGTTACATGTAACAACAATGACTGAGACAGATAGGACAGTGTTGTTATAATGTTACAACAATGACTGAGACAGATAGGACAGTGTTGTTATAATGTTACATGTAACAACAATGACTGAGACAGATAGGACAGTGTTGTTATAATGTTACATGTAACAACAATGACTGAGACAGATAGGACAGTGTTGTTATAATGTTACAACAATGACTGAGACAGATAGGACGGTGTTGTTATAATGTTACAACAATGACTGAGACAGATGGGACAGTGTTGTTATAATGTTACATGTAACAACAATGACTGAGACAGATAGGACAGTGTTGTTATAATGTTACAACAATGACTGAGACAGATAGGACAGTGTTGTTATAATGTTACATGTAACAACAATGACTGAGACAGATAGGACAGTGTTGTTATAATGTTACAACAATGACTGAGACAGATAGGACAGTGTTGTTATAATGTTACATGTAACAACAATGACTGAGACAGATAGGACAGTGTTGTTATAATGTTACATGTAACAACAATGACTGAGACAGATAGGACAGTGTTGTTATAATGTTACAACAATGACTGAGACAGATAGGACGGTGTTGTTATAATGTTACAACAATGACTGAGACAGATGGGACAGTGTTGTTATAATGTTACATGTAACAACAATGACTGAGACAGATAGGACAGTGTTGTTATAATGTTACAACAATGACTGAGACAGATAGGACCGTGTTGTTATAATGTTACAACAATGATGGAGACAGATGGGTCAGGTTTGTTATAATGTCTAACATGAACCTAAATGGCTTACTCTAAATGGCAATAAAGACAGATTTGAAGAAGCTGACACTTACAGTTAACTCTGCCACCAAGACGTCACTCAGCCTCTCAGGTCCCTGGGTGTTGTTACAGTCAGCACTGATGCAAGCAGATACCCCACATGAGATCTGCATATACAAGCAAATGGTTTCATCCACAGTTTTGAAGCAAACTTATCAGTATATTGTTGCTCGGACTGTGAAAACTCTATGATTATTTTTAATTTACAATACTTCTAAATTTTTTTTTTAAAATATGCACTTCCACTTTCAGCCTTAACATAACAGTTTTCCAGTTGATTTTTCTGGTAATAGAAAAAGCTTTAAGGATGTGTGATGAAATTAGCCTTGGTGCAGAGAAATCAATGCTTGTAGATGACTTAAGTTGGTGCAGTAATAGAAAACATGTGGTAATCATCTAATGAAGGATGGCAGAGGACAAACACTATATACAAGGCAGAAAATTGCCAACTGTGGCCAGACAAAGGAAACTCTGGGTTATAGGATGTGTGTTCCATAGGCCTTTTAAAACCAAGAGGGGCAGAGAAAATATGTAATGACAGACAAAGGAGGAAGAGATACTGAGTATGAAACAAGATTGTTTTCCACAGACTGACATTTAGATATCTAATCAGCATGAGAAAGGAAAGCCTCACAAGGTTGGCGACAGAGAGTAGATGTGTCAGGATAATGTGTTGCTTTTTAAATTAGGTCAGATAAAATATTGTTTTTCGATATTAGCTAATTATTTTTTCTGAATTCTACCTGATGTCAATATAGCTCTCCAGATTACTTGTAGGTGAGAGTCTCCTATCCTTTAACAGGAAGAAACACACAGACCTCAACATTCATTTGGGCAAATAAGCAGTAGTAGTAGTAGTAGATTTTTACCCCACTAGGACATCACATAAGCGATAAACACCCGATGACACAAAGTGCCACCATATGGCCATATGGATGAGGATCACCCGTGGAGAGGTCCCAGAAACAGCTTTCAGCCATTAGACCATATTTATGGCCGGGTTATATTATGGCCCCTGGCAAGAGCCAGGGTGGGGCTTCAAAATAGAGAAAAATTGCATCTCACAAGGAGATGAATGAGTGGGCAAATAAGCATTGGTTTGAAACCTTCTACTGAGATGCACAAGTTTTGATTCAGTCAGGAGACAAATTGTAAAAATACATTTTAATATCCCAAATTATGGATATAACAGCAGAACAACAGACAAAACATTCATTCCTGAATGAAAAGTCTGTAAGTCTTGTGAGAACCACATTTTCTATCTAATGGGCTCCAACTAGCCTAAGGAACCCAATGTCCAAAACAGCTTTATCTAACAATTATGATTTATGGCCCTTGCTTGGCACAACTTTTTCTGGCTACCATCCATTGCCTGTAATAACATGTGTGTTAGACAGATACGTACATTCTGACACCCACTTTGGGAAACACTGGTCTAGACAGTACTGAACATGCATGTTGAAATTATACAAGTGAATAACTACTGAAAAAATCAGATTAGAAACATACTAGATACTGAAATGTAGTTATTGTATGGGCTCTCTGAAATCTTGGCTCACTGATTGGTTTATTAATTAAATTATTTATTTTTAGAAATTTGCAGTAAATAACATCAGTGTCACAGACAGAAAAGCATAACTTTTTCCATAGTTATTAAATGAGTCCATTTGATCCAAACCTTATTTGGCTGAGAACACAAGATAAAACACTACTATGTATCTGAAACTGCCAGTACACCAGTATCAGACTAGTACAGTAGCCAGCTAGTGTTTCATTGCTCCAACATGGTGGTGATGGTGTTGTTCAAACTGATGGTGATGAATGAGATGGATGGGACAGGTTTGTTATATGGCATGGAGAATTGTAGTCATTTTGGAGGACAAATATGCCTGCTATGTTATCTACATTCCTTTTGCAAACAGCAGAAAGTGACACCAAAAGTCATTTTACTTCGAGAATCCTGAAAACCCAAACTGGACCTTTCAAATCATACAAAACATCACCAAATGTATATATACACACACACACACATATACATATATATATATATATATATATATATATATATATATATATATATATATATATATATATATATATATATATATATATATATTCTTTTAATCTAGGTTAAATACTGGTCACCCACCTTGTCACCATAATTCAACATGCCAAGTTGGCTTTCCTGCAGAATGCCAAAAGTCTCATTTCCTAGAGTCAAAGTCTGCAGTTTCAGCTGATTTCTGTACCAGGTCACTGTGTAGATGTAAAGTTCTTGCTGTTGTTGCTGCAGGGCTGTGAAGCTACAAACCAGTCTTATGGCTGATGTAACATTCTCTGTCTGCACCTTCAGATCTGGTCCTTTTTCAAAAGCTGGAGTGTCTGAAACACAAAACTGTCTTCCTAAAAGATAGCACGATGAACAATGCAGCAAAGAAATAGAAATCATCTGCATTATACAACATAAAAATTGAAAGGATGTAGGTAACTAGAAAATTTGTGTGTGCTTTTGGAGCCTCAGATTAATTGAGACAATAAAAGTAAGAGACAATGATCTGAAGGACTGTCACTAACCCCAACCTCTGAAGTGATGCTTGCCACTTTGCATGAAGCACGTCTGCCTCCACTCTTCTCTGTATACTTTGTGAGTCTGTTATGCTGTGTCTGCAGCTAGATCTCAAGCCAACAGAAAGCAGAAGTAACTGCTTCTAGCTCCAGTCTTAGACTTGATGTTGTGGTATCAAATGCAAGAATTTGCTGAACTAAATTTTGACTATTTGCTCTTGTTATGAGCTCCTAGGCACTTCTGTCCTCAACAAAGAGCCTTCTGTACAGATAATCACAGCACCTCTTTCATCAGTACCATGCGGCCAATTACTGCATTCTTGTTTAACAGGAAATATTAAATACTGTTTCAGAAATCAGCCAAACAAAGCAATGTTGAAGACAAACAACAAGTCTCATCAAAGTGGAACAGCTGGCAGCAGGTCTCCCAAGGGAACAGAAAATATTCCAGCCTCTGCTGAGGATTTCTATAATAATTTTTTGGGGGGAAGTGTTTGAGATATAGCGAAGAGACCTGCTGAGTGAGGTAGTCAAGAGACACACAACGATACAGTCAAGAGACACTCAATGATACGGTTAAGAGACACTCAATGATACAGTCAAGAGACATTCAATATTACAGTCAGGAGACACTCAGTGATACAGGTAGGAGATACTAAGTGATACAGTCAGGAGACTCTAAGTGATACAGTCAGGAGACACGAAGTGATCTAGTCATGAGATACTAAGTGATCTAGTCACGAGACACTAAGTGATACAGTCAGAAGATACTAAGTATCTAGTCACAAGACATTAAGTGATACAGTCAGAAGATACTAAGTGATCTAGTCATGAGATACTAAGTGATACAGTCAGGAGATACTAAGTGATCTAGTCACGAGACACTAAGTGATACAGTCAGAAGACACTAAGTGATAAAGTTAGGAGACAATGATGCAGTCAAGAGACACTCAATGATACACTAAAATGACAAAGTTGTCAATAAAAAAATCTGAAGTCACTTACAGAAGCTAATGTTTACAGCCGTCAGTGTCTCCTCTGTGCTGTTGATAACATCAAAACCACCAATGAGAATCTCAGAGAAAATTATTTTTTCCTCATTTGTTCCTAAAGTCAGCTGTGTGCTGACATTTATGTTGGTGCGGGTCCTCACTGTATATCTCATCTGTGAGGCCACAAGTTTGTCTCCAAGGTACAACCTGAGACCTGCAGTAACACAGTGCAACAAGAGAAATAACTGAGCAAATATTAAACACAATATCAGACACTTGCAGTTAAACAGTGTATCATGATATTGAAGAACTATAGACAGTAAAGACAAGACAGATGGACAACAAATATGGACAGTGTGAACAAGAAACATTGACATGGACATTGTAGACAACAAATACGGAGAGTATAGACAAGAACAGTGTAGACAAGAAACATAGACAATGTAGACAAGAAACATGGACAGTGTGAACACGAAATGTGGATAGTGTAGACAGGAAATATAGTGTAGATAAGAAACATGAACAGTGTAGACAAGAAAAATGGACAGTGTGGACTAAAAGATAAACAAGAAGTATGGACTGTGTGAACAAAAAAGATTGACACTGAAGACAAGAAACATGTACAGCAAAGACAAAAAACATGGACACTATAGACAACATGAGTAGTGATCTGTGATTCGTAAACACTGGAAAGAAGCATGCACATTCTGATTGAAAAGATGGATAGAAAGTTACAAAGGGTAAACATGAACAATGATTAATGACATCATAATTACATAACAACCAATAATCAACCTCAGCATAAACAGAACAGCTCCTGATGCATCTACTTATTGAGGTCTAGATATGGCCAGAGTGAAATCTTCCTTTCTTTTTTTTTACTGTTGAGTGTTTTAAAGGAGATACACAATTCTGGGCTTGTCAAGTCTATATACAGTTCTGCTTATCCACTTATTGTCAATGTCTCACTTGCTCATGAAAACACAGGTTCTACGTAGCATTGTAACAGTATTTTTCTCACTGCAGTTGACTTCTTCTTATTATTGAATGTTCTCATCTTGCTCAAGGCCAGCTTTGAGGGCATTGATATCTATTAACTTGCTGAAGCGTTTTGTCATATCCATGTATTTCAGACTTTGGCTTTTGTTTATAAGTTTGTTTGTTAGTAATGACCATAATTCCAAGAAGAGGTAATTTTACTGACTGTAACAGCTGGAGATGACTTACTCTGTTATATGTCATGTCAAAGACCATTTGTAAAATAGTTCCTAATAGGATTAATTTGGTAGTGGACAAAATCCTGAGAGAGGAACATTATAGACAAAACATGAACAGAAGTTGTTAAAACTATCCACTGAAACCCAAATATGAACAGAAGCTGTTAAATCTATCCATTAAAACTCAAATATAAACAGAAGCTGTTAAATCTGTCCACTGAATCCCAAATATGAGCAGAGTTCATGTCAAATCTACCTGTCTGAACACTCCATGAAAACTTGATGGTCAAAAATTCATGAAATCTGACAGCAGTGGTCACCACAGTCCATTCTCTGGTCTTTGTGCTGACACGAAGGTACAAGCGTCCATGGGAAATCCACATAGCCAGGCCACATCTGGCAGGATCATCAGCACCGCTGCTAAATATCACCATTTCTGTGTCCATGAAAGAAAGAGCAGCAGCTTCAAACATATGAATTCATCATGCAACTTTCACACATTAAAGAGGCTTGTTTTTTAAGTAACACCCGTTCTGACCGCAGCGACAAACACCGATGGAAAACGTAAATGTGCATATGCAGTATGTTTATGTGGTTCAATAGCTAGCTGTGTGCTATTTTTTTCACTGTTGAAATCTTGTTTGATGCCACATGTGAGTGATTTATAATAAGTGCAGGAATAAATACTTCCGACAGCTGTGAGGTCCATGCTGTGTCATCCGAGACAAAAAGGGTCTTGTTTATTCATTTTCTTGAACTGGGAAATTGTTGACCATCCGCCCTACAGCCCCAATCTGGCAACAAGTGATTACCACTTGTTCATACACCTAAAAAAGGGGCTAGCATCCCAGTCATTTGAAAGTGATGATGAATTACATACAGACATGAATGAATGGTTCAAGACACTGGCAGCAGACTTCTATGACATAAGAATTAAGAACCTGGTGCCAGGACACCAAAAATGTGTTGAAGTCAGCGGTGACTGTTGATAAATAATGTAAATGTGTGATTCATTTTTTACTGCAATAAATCATTTTTAGATATGATGGCTTTGTTTTAATTTTATACCGGGACTTACTTAAAAACATGACTCAGATATAAAACTCAAATCTAAATTTTAAAGCGAAATATTTAAAATGGTTAATTAAAACAGAAGACATTACCACACACAATTAATAAAAAAAAATTATATAAAAATGGCGTAACTTATAGAAAATTCACAACTTTTAGAAACTAACTGACAAAATAAATGATTATAGAAAACATAATAGTTTTAAGCATATAGGTGATAAATTCTAATTGAAAGCTGACAACAAGAATCTTATAAATGGTATTACAAAAGAAAATGACTGTATAAAACTACAGAAGTTAATCTAAAAGAGAAAGCTGACAGTATAGAACCAACAGAAGGTAACCTACAACAGAAAACATAGAACTAGTAATCTGAAGACAAATTTCTTTACACTGTTTGAATTTAAATGAGAGAGAAATCTGGCACAACAGAGATCTTGTAGAAAGCTGGTAAATTTCAGCAGTATTCTCTTTTGTGGGGATGATCATGATATGCATAGACATACTTTAACATAGACATGTGGTACAGGTGGGGATGGAGTCGTTATAACATAAATGGTTATCTTGTAGATAGTTGATTTTTCTGTCTACTGACTCACTGACGATAATCTCAATAGAGAGATAGCTATCTAATAACAGATGTCCCCCGCCCCACCTGTTTTCACCTTCTGTCTCTAGGAATACATGTTTACCCTCACCTGTTTTCACCTCCTGTCTCTAGGAATGGATGTTTACCCTCACCTGTTTTCACCTCCTGTATCTAGGAACATCTGTTTACCCTCACCTGTTTTCACCTCCTGTATCTAGGAACAGGTTTACCATCATCTGTTTTCACCTCCTGTCTCTAGGAACATATATTTACCCTCACCTGTTTTTACCTCCTGTCTCTAGGAACAGATGTTTACCCTCACCTGTCTTCACCTCCTGTCTCTAGGAACAGATGTTCACCCTCATCTGTTTTCACCTCCTGTATCTAGTAACAGATGTTCCCTCTCACATGTTTTCACATCCTGTCTCTAGGAACAGATGTTTACCCTCACATGTTTTCACCTTCTGTCTCTAGGAGACGATGTTTACCCTCACCTGTTCTCACCTCCTGTCTCTAGGAACAGATGTTTACCCCCACCTGTTTTCACCTCCTGTCTCTAGGAACAGATGTTCCCCCTCACATGTTTTCACCTCCTGTCTCTAGGAACAGATGTTTCCCCTCACATACATGTTTTCACCTCCTGTCTTTAGGAACAGATGTTTACCCTCACCTGTTTTCACCTCCTGTCTCTAGGAACAGATGTTCCCCCTCACATGTTTTCACCCACTGTAACTAGGAACAGATGTTTACCCTCACCTGTTTTCACCTCCTGTCTCTAGGAACAGATGTTCCCCCTCACATGTTTTCACCTCCTGTCTCTAGGAACAGGTGTTTACCCTCACCTGTTTTCACCTCCTGTCTCTAGGAACAGATGTTTACCCTCACCTAATTTCACCTCCTGTATCTAGGAACAGATGTTTACCCTCACCTTATTTCACCTCCTGTATCTAGGAACAGATGTTTACCCTCACCTTATTTCACCTCCTGTATCTAGGAACAGATGTTTACCCTCACATGTTTTTACCTCCTGTCTCTAGGAACAGATGTTTACCCTCACCTGTTTTCACCTCCTGTCTCTAGGAACAGATGTTTACCCTCACCTTATTTCACCTCCTGTATCTAGGAACAGATGTTTACCCTCACCTTATTTCACCTCCTGTATCTAGGAACAGATGTTTACCCTCACATGTTTTCACTTCCTGTATCTAGGAACAGATGTTTTCCCTCACCTTATTTCACCACCTGTTTCTAGGAACAGATGTTTACCCTCACCTGTTTTCACCTCCTTTATCTAGGAACAGATGTTGTCCCTCACTTGTTTTCCCCTTCTGTCTATAGGAATGGATGCTCACACTCACCTTTTTTTACCTTCTGTATCTAGGAACAGATGTTTAACCTCACCTGCTTTGACTTGCTGTATCAAGAAATTGAAGGAAAAAGTGAAGCCCAGACGACACTTCTCCAGATCCCAGGGGCAGACAGTGGCTGCGGGATACTGTGCCCACTGGGAGAGTCCATTCAGGCTGAGAACGAAGCCTCCAAGTTTGCCAGGAACTAAGACAGGTGAGCCCATCAGTGTTAGGTTATTTTTCTTGGTGATCAAAGTACTGTTGACAATCCTGAGAAAATCCCAACGAGCGTGCTCAATATCTTTACCTGCAAAAAATATCAACAACAAAAACGAAATAATTTAATGACAGATTCGATTTATTTCACTACAGAAAAAACCAAATAGCTTATGTTTACTAATTAAATAACACTTACCAGAATAAACAAAATCAAACAAATTTTAAAAATACTGATGTTGTTGACATTAACACTTTAAAAAATGCTTTGCTCTCATTAAACACGAGAATGATGTTAAATCCTCATAGCAAATAAACATGCTTCAGCAATCAGCATGCTTGTCCAAGAGAGGCTCTAGTGAAACAGTTTAACAATCAGCATGCTTGTCCAAGAGAGGCACTAGTGAAACAGTTCAACAATCAGCATGCTTGTCCAAGAGAGGCTCTAGTGAAACAGATCAACAATCAGCATGCTTGTCCAAGACAGGCACTAGTGAAACAGTTCAACAATCAGCATGCTTGTCCAAGAGAGGCTCTAGTGAAACAGATCAACAATCAGCATGCTTGTCCAAGAGAGGCCCTAGTGAAACATTTCAACAATCAGCATGCTTGTCTAAGAGAGGCATTAGTGAAACAGTTCAACAATCAGCATGCTTGTCCAAGAGAGGCACTAGTGAAACATTTCAACAATCAGCATGCTTGTCTAAGAGAGGCATTAGTGAAACAGTTCAACAATCAGCATCCTTGTCCAAGAGAGGCACTAGTGAAACAGTTTAACAATCAGCATGCTTGTCCAAGAGAGGCATTAGTGAAACAGTTCAACAATCAGCATGCTTGTCCAAGAGAGGCTCTAGTGAAACAGATCAACAATCAGCATGCTTGTCCAAGAGAGGCCCTAGTGAAACATTTCAACAATCAGCATGCTTGTCCAAGAGAGGCATTAGTGAAACAGTTCAACAATCAGCATGCTTGTCCAAGAGAGGCACTAGTCAAACAGTTCAACAATCAGCATGCTTGTCCAAGAGAGGCTCTAGTGAAACAGTTCAATAAACAGCATGCTTGTTCAAGAGAGGCACTAGTGAAACAGTTCAAGAAACAGCATGTTTGTCTAAGAGAGGCACTAGTGAAACAGTTCAAGAAACAGCATGCTTGTCCAAGAGAGGCACTAGTGAAACAGTTCAACAATCAGCATGCTTGTCCAAGAGAGGCAACTAGTGAAACAGTTCAACAATCAGCATGCTTGTCCAAGAGAGGCACTAGTCAAACAGTTCAACAACCAGCATGCTTGTCCAAGAGAGGCACTAGTGAAACAGTTCAACAACATACCAGTGATTTTAGTCCATGTAGTTCTGTTTGTTAGACTGCATTGTTCTGCTCTGTTCTCTGGGTTTATGAAGCCATCTTCATAACAGAAACCACCCAAGTTGCAAACATCCGTCTTGGAAAAAGAGGAAAAAAAACAAAATATGGATAAAGTTATGGGTTGTTTAAAATTAGACTTCACTTCATATCTATAAGTTATTCAACATTAATTTTAAATTAGATACCACTTGATCAACAGAATCTGTTGTTAATTTTTCATCACTTGAAAGATATAGAATATTCTAAATTAGGTATCACCTGATTTTGGTGAATATAATTTTACTGAAAACAACATCTTAAGGGGGAAAAGCTGACAACTACAAGACAACAAACAGCCAACACTATAATATTGTTATATCAGGAGATAGATGAAAATACATCATACAACATACAACATACATCATACAACATACATCATACAACATACAACATTCAACATATAACATACAACATACAGATTGCTCATTCCTCATATGTGCACAAATATTCCAAGACATTTGTTTCATGATTTCTGTGACATTTCTGATAATTCAGCTGCTGTAACTAACACAACTAACACACAAATCACACAGCTGAATACAGTGATGGAACTGCTGAGTGAAGCTTGCACATCAAAAGTCAGATTGGATTCAATGTACATGACTTAAACACTAAAAGCCACAGAGAATACATTTCAATTATCCAGTTATATTTACTCAGCTGGTGTTTGAAGCATTGTTTGCTAAATTTAAGTAAATAAACATTTGTGTGTGTGTGTGTGGACACACATACATGTTTGTGTGTGTGTGTGTGTGTGCATGTATGTGTGTGTGTTAAGACAACAATGGAATAATATCACTGTAAAACTGTAGAAAAAATTTAGAAAATACCACACATAGACCTCTAATTTAGAAAATACTACAATGACACCTCCCATCCCGAAAATGCTACAATGAGATGTACCATCCAGAAAATACCACACAGAGACCTCCCATCCAGAAAATACCACACAGAGACCTCCCATCCAGAAAATACCACAATGAGACCTCCCATCCAGAAAATACCAAAAAGGGACTTTCCATCCAGAGAATACCACAATGAAACCTCCCATCCAGAAAATAACACAATGAGACCTCCAATCCAGAAAATACCACACAGAGACCTTCGATCCAGAAAATACCACACAGAGACCTCCTATCCAGAAAATACCACACAGAGACCTCCCATCCAGAAAATACCACACAGAGACCTCCCATCCAGAAAATATCACACAGAGACCTCCGATCCAGAAAATACCACACAGAGACTTCCCATCCAGAGAATACCACAATGAAACCTCCCATCCAGAAAATAACACAATGAGACCTCCAATCCAGAAAATTCCAAAAAAGAGACTTCCCATCCAGAGAATACCACAATGAAACCTCCCATTCAGAAAATAACACAATGAGACCTCCAATCCAGAAAATTCCACAATGAGATCTCCTATCCCGAAAATACCACACAGAGACCTCCCATCACAAAATTACCACAATGAAACCTCCCATCCAGAAAATACCCCCAAGAGACCTCCCACCCAGAAATTACCACAGTGAGACATCCCATTCAGAAAATACCACACAGAGACTTTCTACAAGTTGAAAGACAATGTGATATATATCCCTGAGATGCACTGTCATCATTATCAACAATGAGTAGAACTTGATCGCAATAGAGTTCTATTTGTTCAAATCAAGCAGGAGAACCTACCTGTGGCTTGGATTCACAGCTTATAATTGGTGACCAGCCTTTCATTTAACAAATTCATATTGAGAGTGATCACAGATGCACAAGAATTAGACTGGGAGGTTATAATATAAACAACATTCATTATGCAGATGACACAATACATGCTGATAACTGAAAGAGAAAATGATCTACAACAATTACTGGACACTGTAGTGAGGGAGAAAAAAGGGTCTATCCTTGAATATGAAGAAAACAGAGGTAACTGGTTATATCAAAGAAAAGAATACAACCATGGTGTGATATTAAGTTAATGCAAGTCTTTTAATACAAATATGTGGGTACAATCATAACATCAGAGTGTGTATGTTAGAAATTAGGAGAAAAATGGGCTAGGCTAAGGCTGCATTTCACAGAATGAACATCTTGTGTAACATGTCCCTCTCTTTGGATGTCTGAAAAAAAGTACTCAAACATTAGGTAGAACCTATATTGCTGTATGGCGGTAAATTATGGAATGTAAATGCACAAATTAGAAAAGAACTTGGAGGCGACAGAGATGTAGTTTGTCAGATGAAACAACTATAGGAAAAAGACAAGCACAGTTCTTTGGTCATGTGATGGTGGGGTGTGGGGTGGGGGGGGGGGGAGGGGGTAGGTTATGGAGAATGTTGTGATGACTGGGAAGATTTACATCAGAAGAGAGAGGAGAAAACCAACAGAGATGATGACACATAGACTGTGACGGGCAAACTGACAGAGATGATGACACATAGACTGTGACAGGCAAACCGACAGAGATGATGACACATAGACTGTGACGGGCAAACCGACAGAGATGATGACACATAGACTGTGACGGGCAAACCGACAGAAATGATGACACAGAGACTGTGATGGGCAAACCGACAGAGATGATGACACATAGACTGTGACGGGCAAACCGACAGAGATGATGACACATAGACTGTGACAGTGGCACAGAGGAATATTATCAGTGGAATAGAGGCCAAGGGACCAAGATCTGTGGAGATGCATGAATGCCTATGCTGGCCAGCAGGGCAAGTGACATAACTTTACGCCAGCCGGTAGAGCAAGTGACATAACTCTACGCCAGCCAGCAGAGCAAGTGACATAACTCTACGCCAGCCAGCAGGGCAAGTGACATAACTCTACGCCAGCTAGCAGAGCAAGTGACATAACTTTACGCCAGCCAACAGGGCAAGTGACATAACTCTACGCCAGCCAGCAGAGCAAGTGACATAACTTTACGCCAGCCAACAGTGCAAGTGACATAACTTTATGCCAGCCAGCAGAGCAAGTGACATAACTCTACGCCAGCCAACAGGGCAAGTGACATAACTTTACGCCAGCCAACAGGGCAAGTGACATAACTTTACGCCAGCCAACAGGGCAAGTGACATAACTCTACGCCAGCCAGCAGAGCAAGTGACATAACTTTATGCCAGCCAACAGGGCAAGTGACATAACTTTACGCCAGCCAACAGAGCAAGTGACATAACTCTATGCCAGCCAATAGAGCAAGTGACATAACTCTACGCCAGCCAACAGAGCAAGTGACATAACTCTACGCCAGCCAACAGAGCAAGTGACATAACTCTACGCCAGCCAGCAGGGCAAGTGACATAACTTTATGCCAGCCAACAGGGCAAGTGACATAACTCTACGCCAGCCAACAGGGCAAGTGACATAACTTTACGCCAGCCAACAGAGCAAGTGACATAACTCTACGCCAGCCAACAGAGCAAGTGACATAACTTTACGCCAGCCAACAGGGCAAGTGACATAACTTTACGCCAGCCAACAGAGCAAGTGACATAACTTTACGCCAGCCAGCAGAGCAAGTGACATAACTCTACGCCAGCCAACAGAGCAAGTGACATAACTCTACGCCAGCCAGCAGGGCAAGTGACATAACTTTATGCCAGCCAACAGGGCAAGTGACATAACTCTACGCCAGCCAACAGGGCAAGTGACATAACTTTACGCCAGCCAACAGGGCAAGTGACATAACTCTACGCCAGCCAGCAGAGCAAGTGACATAACTTTATGCCAGCCAACAGGGCAAGTGACATAACTTTACGCCAGCCAACAGAGCAAGTGACATAACTCTACGCCAGCCAATAGAGCAAGTGACATAACTCTACGCCAGCCAACAGAGCAAGTGACATAACTCTACGCCAGCCAACAGAGCAAGTGACATAACTCTACGCCAGCCAGCAGGGCAAGTGACATAACTTTATGCCAGCCAACAGGGCAAGTGACATAACTCTACGCCAGCCAACAGGGCAAGTGACATAACTTTACGCCAGCCAACAGGGCAAGTGACATAACTTTACGCCAGCCAACAGGGCAAGTGACATAACTCTACGCCAGCCAGCAGAGCAAGTGACATTACTTTATGCCAGCCAACAGGGCAAGTGACATAACTTTACGCCAGCCAACAGAGCAAGTGACATAACTCTACGCCAGCCAATAGAGCAAGTGACATAACTCTACGCCAGCCAACAGAGCAAGTGACATAACTCTACGCCAGCCAACAGAGCAAGTGACATAACTCTACGCCAGCCAGCAGGGCAAGTGACATAACTTTATGCCAGCCAACAGGGCAAGTGACATAACTCTACGCCAGCCAACAGGGCAAGTGACATAACTTTACGCCAGCCAACAGGGCAAGTGACATAACTTTACGCCAGCCAACAGAGCAAGTGACATAACTTTACGCCAGCCAGCAGAGCAAGTGACATAACTCTACGCCAGCCAACAGAGCAAGTGACATAACTTTACGCCAGCCAACAGGGCAAGTGACATAACTTTACGCCAGCCAACAGAGCAAGTGACATAACTTTACGCCAGCCAGCAGAGCAAGTGACATAACTCTACGCCAGCCAACAGAGCAAGTGACATAACTCTACGCCAGCCAGCAGGGCAAGTGACATAACCTTATGCCAGCCAACAGGGCAAGTGACATAACTCTACGCCAGCCAACAGGGCAAGTGACATAACTTTATGCCAGCCAACAGAGTAAGTGACATAACTCTACGCCAGCCAACAGAGCAAGTGACATAACTTTACGCCAGCCAACAGAGCAAGTGACATAACTTTATTAAAGGATAAACAAAACAAAAAAAACATGAACAAATTAGTTACTACTCACGCGTATGAAGCAGATATGACTGTCTCTGTCACAAGTCTGGCAGAGTGAGTTGTAGGTCACTCGGAGCAGTGTCGTTGTACTGTAAACATTGTCAATGTTGGCACAACTGATATTGACTATTTGGAAGGTGTCCAGGGAACATACAATGGTGTCCTCTCTGATGAATGTGGCATTTACAATTGTTTCATTTCCTGTTGTCTCATAGCCTGTCATGGTTGCCTTTAGAATACAAAATAATGATGAACACCCATGCTGACCAGCAAAAAGACTATCAACTCTTTATAAGATTATCAACTGTCTATGAGATTCAGATTATCAACTGTCTATGAGATTCAGATAATTAACTATTTATGAGATTTTATAAACTGTCTCAAAAAATATACAATTAATTGAACACCACAAACAAACAACAAACTATCAATTCTTTAAATTATTGTTTCCCCCAGAGAATTAACTATTAACTCTTTGAGTCCCAGGGGGTTTAGCATGACAGGCTCAAGAGGTAGTCAAGAGAGACATAAAATCGGCACATCTTGCCTTCATTAGTGACACTAAGTATTTGCAGGTCTGTCTGGACATTATCTCTTCATCATCTTCTTGGTCTGCCTTGTGGTCTACAAACATTCATCTCCCTCGTTTATACAGTTTTTACTTCTCTGTCATCTTACTTTTCAATATGCCCCAACCATTTCAGTCTATTAGCTTTCATGATGCCAGTGATCATTGGTGATTTAAACAGATTATGAAATGTATTGTTGCTTCTCACTCTCCATTCCCGGCTGTTTGCATCTTTGATGGGTCCAAAGATTTATCGTGAGACTCAGTTTTTGAAAACCTGTAATAAGGCTTCACCTCTTTTAGTTGTGCTCCAAGTTTCATAGCCAGATAAAATGACTGGTCTTTTCAACGTTTTATATAAATTTTGATCTTGGTATTGCAAGACAGACACTTTCACTTTAGCAGATGTTGAAGGACATAGTATACTTTATTTCCAGATTGTATTTTAGATTGTATTTCATCTCTCAGCATGTTAAAGCAGTTGAAGTTTTCAACCCAAGTACTTATACTCTACTGTTCATTTTATTTTCATATTATCGACTTGTATATAGCCAGAGTTTATATTCTTTCCCTGTCTAGTTCAGCTGTCATGAAAAACAATAAATGTCTACAAGAATAAACTATCATGTGTCTACAAAGAAAGATAAAAACAAAGAACTATCAACTGTATACAAGAATAAACTATTAGCCTTCTGCAAGAAAAAATACAGTTGTCAACAAATTATCTTTCCAGTGGACTGTCTATAAAAATAAACTGTCAACTGCCTACAAAAATAAACTATCATATTCAACAATAATAGTGTTAACAGTCAACATGAAAAGAATAAACTATCATATTCAACAACAATAGTGTTAACAGTCAACATGAAAAGAATAAACTATCATATTCAACAAGAATAGTGTTAACAGTCAACATGAAAAGAATAAACTATCATATTCAACAAGAATAGTGTTAACAGTCAACATGAAAAGAATAAACTATCATATTCAACAACAATAGTGTTAACAGTCAACATGAAAAGAATCATCTATTATATTCAACAATAATAGTGTTAACAGTCAACATGAAAAGAATAATCTATTATATTCAACAACAATAGTGTTAACAGTCAACATGAAAAGAATAAACCATCATATTCAACAAGAATAGTGTTAACAGTCAACATGAACAGAATAAACTGTTATATTCAACAAGAATAGTGTTAACAATCAACATGAAAAGAATAAACTATTATATTCAACAAGAATAATGTTAACAGTCAACATGAAAAGAATAAACTGTCACCTATCCACAAAAATAAACTATTAACTCTGTACAAGAATAAACTATAAATCTTTTTGAAAGAATAAACACAACTATCTAGAAAACTAACTTCCCAGCAGACTGTCTTCAACAATAATCTATTCTACTGCTTAACAAAAATAAACTGTCAACTAAGTCATGAGATAAGGTGGAATAACCACAATGATTGCTCCCTATCCCAGGCTGGCGTTACACTTCTCTGTGATTTTTTTAATTTTGTGTCTAACAGGTGCAAAGAAGTCAAACCAGCAATGAGAGAATCAAACAGGCAGTAATGTTACCCTGATTTCCACAAGTTTGCAGTTCAGTGAGTCAAAATTGACAAAACCAGCACCATAAATGATGACAGAGGAACAGTTTTTGACTTGACTGTCACAAAAGACTCCATCCTGAATGGAAATGATCTCTGGAGGTTTGCTGAGGTCAAGGCTGCAATCATCACCTGCGTGTGCAGCACTGCACAAACACACACCTGTTGGGTGAAACATTACAGCTCAGGCTAGATGTGTTGTCAGAAGGAAAATGTGTTGAAGTGGCTGATGTGTAGATAATAGGCTGATGTGTAGATAATAGACTGATGTGCAGATAATAGGCTGATGTGTAGATAATAGGCTGATGTGTAGATAATAGGCTGATGTGTAGATAATAGGCTGATGTGTAGATAATAGGCTGATGTGTAGATATGGCTAATTTATACATAATAGGGGCACAAAAATTAGATACCAGTTGTAGATAAGGATTTGTAGATGATATTGCACAAAACATTACAAGAATACATTGTTACAGCTTATTTGGGTAAGAATTATAGTTAGGGTAAGGATTTTAGTTAGGGTTTGGATTATAGTTAGGGTTTGGATTATAGTTAGGGTTTGGTTTTGGGACATAAATGATTTGAGCACTGGGCAATAAAAACTTGGCAGTTCTTTAAACAACACAGCCATTCACTTTTCCAAGCTGATTAAATATTCTTGGTAGAACACAAAATGACTCTGGTCACTCTGTCTACACCCTCTCTACATGGCTTGTGGCCATTTTTCTCCAAGATTAATGTGCTATAGAAAAGGATCCAGGAGAGTCACAAGAAGGCATCTAAAATGTGCTGGCTGGGTCATGAGTAGGCATCTGAAATGTGCTGGCTGGGTCATGAAGCATCTAAAATGTGCCGGCTGGCTCATGAGGCATCTGAAATGTGCTGGCTGAGTCATGAGAAGGCATCTGAAATGTGCTAGCTGGGTCATGAAAAGGCATCTGAAATGTGCTGGCTGAGTCATGAGAAGGCATCTGAAATGTGCTAGCTGGGTCATGAAAAGGCATCTGAAATGTGCTGGCTGGGTCATGAGAAGGCATCTGCAATGTGCTGGCTGGGTCATGAAAAGGCATCTGCAATGTGCTGGCTGGGTCATGAAAAGGCATCTGCAATGTGCTGGCTGGGTCATGAAAAGGCATCTGCAATGTGCTGGCTGGGTCATGAGAAGGCATCTGAAATGTGCTGGCTGGGTCATGAGAAGGCATCTGCAATGTGCTGGCTGGGCTGGACTTGCCAAATGGATATGCTTGCAACAAAAAATCCATCAAATGTATGCAGCCCAGAGTGACTAGCTTGAAGGGCTAGTTTCAGACTTCCAGGTAAGTATCTGCAGTTTACATGAATTTAACATGGTTGGCAATAAGATATGAGCAAGCAGTGTGTTGTATGTACAATATGTGATTAGAAATAAACTTAACACATACCATAGCTACAGTTGCCAAGGTTACTGCAGTTATTAGGACATAGGTTAATCACAGCATCTGGTAATTTAGGGATGTCACCATCCTCTGTGACCCACAGAGTGGCGTCCATGCTGGAGATAATCAAGCACTGTTTCCTGATGTTAGCAACAGCCACCTGTGACCAGACTGTGTCTTCTGTGATCTGTTGAGGCATGAAGTGAAACTATGACTGAACTACTGTGTATTTTGTGATCTGTTGAGGCATGAAGTGGAACTATGACTGAACTACAGTATCTTCTGTGATCTGTTGAGGCATGAAGTGAAACTATGACTGAACTACAGTATCTTCTGTGATCTGTTGAGGCAGGAAGTGAAACTATGGCTGAACTACAGTATCTTCTGTGATCTGTTGAGGCATGAAGTGGAACTATGACTGAACTACTGATCTTCTGGAATCTTTTGAGGCATGAAGTGAAACTATGACTGAACTACAGTATCTTCTGTGACCTGTCGAGGCATGAAGTGAAACTATAACTGAACTACTCGGTCTTCTGTGATCTGTTGAGGCATGAAGTGAAACTATGACTGAACTACTGTGTCTTCTGTAATTTGTTAGGACATGAAATGAACATATCATTAGACTATTGTGTGTGAACTGTTGAGGTAAGAAGTGAAACTATCACTGAACTATTGTGTGTGAACTGATGAGATGTGAAGTGAAACAACCACTTTATGTGATTTGCAAACAACTCTATTTTACATACAAAGCTACAAGTACAAATAACATTTTTATGTGTGCAACCTAAGCAAAATTAATCTTTTTTTCTGAAAAACAAAATTCAAGCAATCCTTTCATTTGTAAAGCATAAAACTGCTGCAATAAATGTAAATTAAATTACAGTTAGCATTATTTTCCGTTATAACAAATATATATATATTTAACCACATTTCCTGCAAAACCCTTCTATAATTTACTATTTTTTGTGTGGCATTAATCTGCTGCAGTTTATCCCCATATTTTGAAAAAATCTACAACAATGAAACCTATTTTCTGTGCACATTTACCACTGAACCCAATTGACTTTACAACTAACAACAGTGAATACAATGTTGCATGAGAGAGAAATGATGCACTTGTTTCTGAACTAAACCATACCATGTAGTCTCTGATGCAGAAGTTCTGTATCAACTGGAATGTTGATCCCACAATCTTGCTGCATTGAGCAGCTGATGACATGGCAGCAATCTCGTTTTGGCAGAAAATGGTTGCAACTTCAACTGTAATGTTTGACTGCCCTTCCTATAGAAAAAAAATCATAGGACAGATGTTTTATTTTTTCCTAAATATTTGCCATCTTTTATTTTGACTATTTTGACTATATATATATATATATATATATATATATATATATATATATATATATATATATATATATATATATATATATATATATATATATATATATTCTGATACCAATTCCATAAACATATGCTGAAATGTTATAGTCTGTTATCTCACATACTCTCCAGAGCCAAGGATCAGGTTTGTGTCACTTTTCTAGTTCTTGTCCTTAGATCCAGCCATTACTTTTTTCTAGTTCTTGTCCTTTATCCAGTCACTCATTTTTTCTAGTTCTTGTCCTTTATCCAGTCACTCATTTTTTCTAGTTCTTGTCCTTAGATCCAGCCACTCATTTTTTCTAGTTCTTGTCCTTTGATCCAGCCACTCATTTTTTCTAGTTTTTGTCCTTTGATCCGGCCACTCATTTTTTCTAGTTCTTGTCCTTAGATCCAGCCACTCATTTTTTTCTAGTTCTTGTCCTTTGATCCGGCCACTCATTTTTTCTAGTTCTTGTCCTTTGATCCGGCCACTCATTTTTTCTAGTTCTTGTCCTTTGATCCGGCCACTCATTTTTTCTAGTTCTCGTCCTTAGATCCAGCCACTCATTTTTTTTCTAGTTTTTGTCCTTAGATCCAGCCACTGATTTTTTTAAAGATTTTCTTCTTTCTTGTTTCCCACTCCAATTTGCTGGTTGTCACTAAGTTTACCAGTTTATGTTTTTGTAAACATTTCTTATTTTTGTGTGTGGAAAATATCCACACATTTATAACATAAACATTGACACCTACCACATAAACATTTATATTTGCACCATAAACACTGGTAACAACATAAACATTGGTACCAACTCCATAAACATTTTAAACTGTCAAAAAAACATTTATCCTAACCCAATAAACATGGATAACTATCACTTGGACACTAACCCCACAACCCCATAAACATTGGTAACTATCACAAAAACACTGATAACTATCAAAAACAACACGTTGACATTACCCACATAAAGATCCATAAACATCACATAAAAATTGACATCAACCCATTAACATTGCTACCTACAAAACATTGATATCAACCCCATACACATTAAAATCTATCACAGACACATCAAGATACACCAGATGAACATTGAATGTATCTTGAAAACATTGATACATACCATACAAACACTGATACCTACCACGTAAATATAAGTGGTGTTATAAGTAAAGTCTGGCTGTGGTTCGGTGGTGGTACACTTGGCTGGGTTGTCTGGGCTTGCAGCAATGAGAGAACTTGTTATATCTTTGTCTGAAACAAAAAGTTTAAAAAATATTTAGCGTTCACAAGACAGGTCTCTCTAAAGACCTCTGATTTTGGGGTCAAGGCAGCTTCCTTTTCATCACTTTCTTGACCCAGGTGAAGGCTGGGATTTTTTCATGTAGACACCTAGTAATTTCCCCTAGTCTTTGGGTAGTAAGACCGGACGCTCGTATGTATTGTTGCGCAGTAAAAAAATCCCTTGGCTGTTGGAAATTGAAAAGAGTAGCCTAACAGTGCTGCCTGAGCACAATTTGGAGTTAAAAATCTACCTATAGTATTTCAGGCTTAACCGGTGCTACAGAGTAAATGCACTGCGCTGAGATTCTTCGGACTCAGGCTTGAGTTAGAAGTAGAACGGAGCCCTTATGGGTTACTACCCTTGTGCCATGATGTTGATCCGTTGCATAAACCTAATCCTAAACGATGACCTACCTACAACTATCTGTGGACCATGACCTACTTAAATTATTTGTGGAATATGACCTACTTAAATTATTTGTGGAACATGACCTACCTACAACTATCTGTGGACCATGACCTACTTAAACAATATGTGGACCATGACCTACTTAAACTTGACCTGCTTAAACTATCTGTGGACCATGACCTACTTAAACTATCTGTGGACCATGACCTACTTAAACAATATGTGGACCATGACCTACTTAAACTTGACCTACTTAAACTATCTGTGGACCATGACCTACTTAAACATGTGTGGGCCATTGTGGTAAACAGTGAATAGGAGGGGTGAGCAATTACTATTATTTCTGATAAATCAACACAGGGTAAAAAGTCTAACACTGAAGCATCTAGATAGATATGCCAGCCTTTGGGATTTATTATAGGATTGCTTTGGCATGCCGGCCAGAAGGTTCATGACTAGGTGATACAGACAGAGAGATCCTTTTAATCTTTCCTGTAGATACAGCAAGACTACCTTGGGAAAGCACTAAAAATAGAGATTAGAACACGGGTCAGGCAACAGCCTGGAGGTATTGACAGGAGAAGGAGATTAATCTTTCCCTTAGATAAGACAGGACCAACAGAGAAAAAATCTAATAAGACAGAGATGACCAGGTGCACTGAGAGATCAGAGTGGGGTGGGAAATCACTTGGGCTTGGTGAATAGAAGAGATAATGAGAAAGAGGGGAACAAGGAGAGGGAGAGAGAGATTATAACAGTTAGGCAAGAGACCTGTGAGTGGCTGGTTGCAAGACTAGTCGAGCAGAGGACTGTAGCTTGTGAAGATAGCAGTATACTGTATGACCGAGAATTAACTTCTTTTAGAAGAAAGGCAGCCTACTTTGTGTTAGAAGAACTTGTAAAGCATACATATACAGCAACAATAACTATACTCTGAAGTGTTGGTCATTATTGTCCTACTTGAACTGGCATTATGTTGTTAAAATAAATCAATGCAAGTTAGTAGAACCCCTGCCCCACTACACATACAGCTGAATGGTTCTGCTCTGAATCAAGTTAGGGAGTTTAAATATCTAAGAAGTATGATCACAGTAGAATTGACAGAGAAATAGAAACCAGATGCCAGAAAGCAAATGCACTTATATACCAATTGTCACCATTATTAAGACATCCAAGCACATCTATGAGTGCAAAGAGAATAATTAAACTATCAGGCAAATTTTGGGAACGACACCTTGTACTAGATTCATTGAGAAACAGCAGATTAGATCAGCAGTGGTTTATGATGATAATGATGATGAATAAATGATCCTAACTTCATGTGACTTGATCCTTCACTGGCCGTGTTGTCAAACATAAGAGACTAAGCTTAGGTGAATAATGTGGAAGACTAGACTTTGTCACACCATGACCTACTTAAACTATCTGTTGACCATGACCTACTTAACTCTTTGAGTCCCAGGAGGTTTAGCATCACAGGCCCAGGGGGTAGTAAAGAAAGTAATAAAATCTGCGCATTATTATTGGGCTTCTAGGTAGGAACCTATGAACCTATGATACGTTGCTTGGGACTCAAAGAATTAAACTATCTGTTGATCATGATCTACCATCACTCGGTTACAATTTGTTTGCCAGTAAAACACAAATAAACCAAGAAGAAAAGAGGACCTTTAGAAGCCCCAGCCAGCCTGTATGTCACACAAACATATACATCACTGAACAGATCCCAAAATAACTCTTTCTGAAAATGTCGCCCATTATTCAGCTGAAACTACATTTTTCACTTTTAGACATATTATCAATGTATGGGTTCTTGAAATAGACTCTCTTAAATTGTTTTGTTTGACAGGAAAATGAATTTCTGTGAATCTGTTTTGAAAAACTAGAACTAGCCAAAGAAAATGTCTTCAGCTTCAGTGTGGACTAACAAGATTATTAACTTTTTAATTTGTTTGAAATTAAGTAAATCTGATTCAATTTTTGTGTGTACTCCTAGCATAGCAACATTCAAACTTTTAAAATCCACTGCTTAGAGTGCTTGCTCTAAGCCTGACCAAACATCAGTCTTGAGGTCTAATGCAGCATTTGTTAGATGAAGAAGGCAACTCTAGTCTGTCTAGTGATTACTTCAGATTCCAGATTGTCTGACAAAGATGATGTTGATAGTGAATATCAGCCAACTGCTGTAAAACATGCCAGACCAAAGTGTACAGAAAACCAGAACAATAACACAACCACATGTAGAACATGCCAGACCAAAGTGTACAGAAAACCAGAACAATGACACAACCACATGTAGAACATGCCAGACCAAAGTGTACAGAAAACCAGAACAATAACACAACCACATGTAGAACATGCCAGACCAAAGTGTACAGAAAACCAGAACAATAACACAACCACATGTAGAACATGCCAGACCAAAGTGTACAGAAAACCAGAACAATAACACAACCACATGTAGAACATGCCAGACCAAAGTGTACAGAAAACCAGAACAATAACACAACCACATGTAGAACATGCCAGACCAAAGTGTACAGAAAACCAGAACAATAACACAACCACATGTAGAACATGCCAGACCAAAGTGTACAGAAAACCAGAACAATAACACAACCACATGTAGAACATGCCAGACCAAAGTGTACAGAAAACCAGAACAATAACACAACCACATGTAGAACTGTCCATGCTGCTGCTGTTGTTGTTGATGAATCTGAGCCAGACAACAGTCTTGACATAACACTGTGCAACACAGTAGAAGTGTCAGTGCAACACAGTAGAAGTGTCAGTGCAACACAGTAGAAGTGTCAGTGCAACACAGTAGAAGTGTCAGTGCAACACAGTAGAAGTGTCAGTGCAACACAGTAGAAGTGTCAGTGCAACACAGTAGAAGTGTCAGTGCAACACAGTAGAAGTGTCAGTGCAACACAGTAGAAGTGTCAGTGCAACACAGTAGAAGTGTCAGTGCAACACAGTAGAAGTGTCAGTGCAGCACCCTAGAAGTGTCAGTGCAGCATCCTAGAAGTGTCAGTGCAGCATAGTAGAAGTGTCACTGCACCACCCTTGAAGTGTCAGTGCAGCACCCTAGATGTGCCAGTACAGCACCTTATAAGTGTCAGTGCAGCACCCTAGATGTGCCAGTGCAGCACCCTAGAAGTGTCAGTACAGCACCCTAGAAGTGTCAGTGCAACACAGTAGAAGTGTCAGTGCAACACAGTAGAAGTGTCAGTGCAACACAGTAGAAGTGTCAGTGCAACACAGTAGAAGTGTCAGTGCAACACAGTAGAAGTGTCAGTGCAACACAGTAGAAGTGTCAGTGCAACACAGTAGAAGTGTCAGTGCAACACAGTAGAAGTGTCAGTGCAGCACCCTAGAAGTGTCAGTGCAGCACCCTAGAAGTGTCAGTGCAGCATCCTAGAAGTGTCAGTGCAGCATAGTAGAAGTGTCACTGCACCACCCTTGAAGTGTCAGTGCAGCACCCTAGATGTGCCAGTACAGCACCTTATAAGTGTCAGTGCAGCACCCTAGATGTGCCAGTGCAGCACCCTAGAAGTGTAGTGCAGCACCCTAGAAGTGTCAGTGCAGCACAGTAGAAGTGTCAGTGCAGCACCCTAGAAGTGTCAGTGCAGCACAGTAGAAGTGTCAGTGCAGCACCCTAAATGTGCCAGTGCAGCACCCTAGAAGTGCCAGTGCAGTACCCTAGAAGTCCCAGTGCAGTACCCTAGAAGTGTCAGTGCAGTACCCTAAAAGTCCCAGTGCAGTACCCTAGAAGTCCCAGTGCAGTACCCTAGAAGTGTCAGTGCAGTACCCTAGAAGTGTCAGTGCAGCACCCTAGAAGTGTCAGTGCAGTACCCTAAAAGTGCCAGTGCAGTACCCTAGAAGTGCCAGTGCAGTACCCTAGAAGTCCCAGTGCAGTACCCTAGAAGTGTCAGTGCAGTACCCTAGAAGTGCCAGTGCAGTACCCTAGAAGTGTCAGTGCAGTACCCTAGAAGTGTCAGTGCAGTACCCTAGAAGTGTCAGTGCAGTACCCTAGAAGTGTCAGTGCAGTACCCTAGAAGTGTCAGTGCAGTACCCTAGAAGTGTCAGTGCAGTACCCTAGAAGTGTCAGTGCAGTACCCTAGAAGTGCCAGTGCAGTACCCTAGAAGTGCCAGTGCAGTACCCTAGAAGTGTCAGTGCAGTACCCTAGAAGTGTCAGTGCAGTACCTTAGAAGTGTCAGTGCAGTACCCTAGAAGTGCCAGTGCAGTACCCTAGAAGTGCCAGTGCAGTACCCTAGAAGTGCCAGTGCAGTACCCTAGAAGTGTCAGTGCAGTACCCTAGAAGTGTCAGTGCAGTACCCTAGAAGTGTCAGTGCAGTACCTTAGAAGTGTCAGTGCAGTACCTTAGAAGTGTCAGTGCAGTACCCTAGAAGTGTCAGTGCAGTACCTTAGAAGTGTCAGTGCAGCACCCTAGAAGTGTCAGTGCAGTACCTTAGAAGTGTCAGTGCAGTACCTTAGAAGTGTCAGTGCAGCACCCTAGAAGTGTCAGTGCAGCTCCCTAGAAGTGTCAGTGCAGCA